GGCTCTAAAGCCGGCGGATCGCTTGTATGGTATCAGGCATCGCTGCCTGTTTTTAAAAAACGGCAATTTCCCGCTCGCGCACGCCGAGCGGCGCGCGCGAGGGGGCGTGTCTGAGCGGACGTCTAGAGACGCCCGCTCAGATCTAGAGAGCTCCTGGCCGGCCGTTTTTCTACTTCGGCCGGCCCGGAGGCAGTTAAAATAAGACTGTCTTATTCTGGTACAAAGTGAGACCAGTGAGGCCTTTTTAAAGTATATTGGAAAATTGCTGTGTTTTCCTTTTTTGGAATGAAGTTTCACGTAATTACAAGGAAACATTGTCTTTGCTTTATAACTACTATATTGTCATACAAAAAGCCACACCTACCCTTTTCCAAAACCTGATTTACTTATTAAACTAATAAACCCATAAACTAATAAAAACAAATTCATACAGCATACCAGAAATAAATACAATAAAAATTCATAGTGTCCATATCTACATAAATTCGAAACAAAGTTAAAAGTGAAATCCACAAAGTTCAGTTCAATCTAAATCCTTTTGCCTTGAACCAGAAAATAATCTAAAAAGTTATCAGCAAAACATCAGGTCATTCCGCCATTTCTTCCACCTGTGATCTGATAAGAACTCACCCCTTCACTGACCCTTTTACTTAAAGTCTATTTGCACCTTTGTAAGTGATTAGCATTTACTGTGGTAATGATGAGGTGAAGAGATGATGTATACATTTTCATGACACACATTCTTTATTTTTAGTGACGTTTTTATTAGGCCTGAAGCCTAGAAATTCAACATTTTCTCCACAGGAAACTCAGTCTGACACCAGGGTCTGGTGTAAAGTAGACTCTAAACAGCTCTCAGCCTCCCTGTTATTCATTGTAACATGCAGCATGCATTGTAAACAGCAGCTCTGCCTTTGTACACAATAAACTGTCCAGGAGGGGTTGCCACTATGAATACTAATTAATAGGGGTGGGGGTGGTGGTGGAGAGGTCACTTGTACTATACACACATTATTTGCAAATCACAATTGCAGCCATTTCTTTGAGGGGATGAAGAGGAAAGCTAACAAAAAATGTAAGTTTTTGTGTTCGCATACAGCAAGTGCATATGCCTGCTCCATGTACACTTGGTGTACATTGCTGGCATATTTATTTTTTAAAAATATCTCAGCAAAGGTGGAAATGGGCTTTAAAATGGGCCAGAAAGCGCTTATTTTGTATGATTCTAACTTATCAAATTAGAATCATGTCTCCACCTTCCTGCACATTTTGTTGCTTCAGATACCCTGAAGAAACGCATGAGTCTTTTTTAACCAATGTTTTTGGAATGTGTAGCCCCCCATCACCTTTTTTGAGGTGGCTACTAGAAACTTAGTAATTACCAGAACTGTAGCCAGTCTTGCTGAATTATAGTTGCCATTTATCTGGTTATTTCCAGGTTTTCTGACACTGATTGTACCTATCTGGGTGGAGTGTGACTCTGCTGTGGTGTGGGACTTCCAATGAGGGACACTGTGAGTGTTTAACAGCCAATCACTGGGTCTCTCTCAACCAGTGTTGCATGCTGGGTAAGTGCATCTATACTGGAGGGAATTGCCATGTGCTTAGTCTTGTGCCAGCCATGGATTAGCCCAGGTTGGGATGTTGTCGGGCCACCCCCCAGGTCAGGCTTGAGGCCTGGGGGTGGGGATGCTGGAGTGTAAAAAAAAGGCTTTGCTAGGCCTCAAGTCTAGAGGAGGCCTTTGTGGTTGTCAGAGGAGGAGAACCAGTGAAGCTGATGGCTGCTGGAGGTGCCCGGAACCTAGTGGACCTCAGGAGCAAGTCAGGTGTCTCTCCTGCTGAGCATTGGTGCCAATCCCTGTACTTCGGCTACTCAAATACCTATTCAGTATGCTGCAAATAGATCTACACTGAATTGCTAAAAGGGACTGGTGAGTCTGGAGTCTATGTCTGTTCTACCCTGGATGTCTAGGTCCCTATACCCTCTCTCTCAGAGTGAATATGTTACTCATATAAACTCTGTAGGCACTAGAGGAGGGCGGTTCAATGCTAGTGGGGCAGCTGAATACGAAAACCCCTAGACCAACTAGTGGTGACCCAGGTTATTCTGATGGGTCCTTCGAAAAAGGAGGGAGCAGCACATAAAATAATAAAGTGTCTGTCAAAATGTTTTGATTGCAGCAGCTCTTAGTACTCAAAGGGTAGGACTGCCAGTGCAGAAATCTTTAATTTATATTTGTTTTAAAATGACAGAACTGTGCATGTATTTTTTGTACATCATTTACCTGCAGGGCAGATGAGATCCCACTGCAGATTGACACTCCTCCACCAGATGTAACTGGAAGATTTGAGATAAAGTTTCTTCGTATGTCATCGCTGCTAATGTGAAGTAGTTGATTTTTCACATCCGCTGTTTCATTGAATGCAACAATGCCAAGGTATGAGCCTTCTTCAACTATCTGCTGTATGAAGATGGCTGCTGCTTGACGCAATTGGTGAAGCCGTTTACTCTACTTATAGGAATAAAAAAATACATTTGTGTCAGGATGGATTAATGAGGAAATACTTTTAAATTCCTCTTCTACACATTCTTCTTTGGATGCTCAATGTTCCAAATCCATTAAACAATTATAACTGACTTACTCTTTAGTTGCTGAGTGAAACCACCCCTAAATATAATCACATATTCTGTTGCATTTTTTTGTGATATCAGTGGCCAATGGGTCACCATCATTAGATGAAGGAATTGCTGGTGCTGTCTATTTACAATAATGTAAATAGTAAACCAAATAAGGAGATTTCCATCCAAAACTGCCAAACTCCTTTATAGGGGTTTACCCCCTAGTATAATATTAATATTTTACAATGTTATGGGAGAGTCTGGAGAGGGAAGATTACATTATTTTTGATAACAGTTTTAGAAGTGATTTTATCATTTAAAGTGTAACTTCATGCAGTATAAATACACTATCGTTTTCACCAATGTATCTGGTTTCTATATTTTGTCCTTTTTGTTATTTCTGACAAATCCTCTCCACTTTGTCTGCAAAACAAAATATCTAATTTTCAGTTGATAGTCATTCGGTTTTTTTTTTAAATAGAAATATATATAGTCATTCTGTAAAATCACATCTCTAAATATGTTTTCTTTTGGTCAGGTTAAACTGAAATATTGCATATGACATTTTGTAGTTTTATATGCAGCCAGAGGACTGTAGCTCTCAGCTTTTTTCATGTTTTTTCAAAGGTACTCCTTAGCCCTTGTGTAAAAAAAGCCTGTTATTTACAGAGACCAATAACTCAAGATGCAATTTACACAAACAACTGGTTATGTCATAGAAGTGACTCTCAGCGTCTGTCATAGCTCTATTTGATGTTTCCATTAGAGAGAGGGGAACTTAACAAAAAGTAGTACAGGCATAAAACCTAGCCTAACGGAGTAGATCCTGCTCCTAATTAACTAAGGTGGTACAAACCGCTGTTTGCATCACCGGGGACCACCTGGACTGCCAGGAGAGGATTCAAAGAGAAAGAGGACCCAATGTGTTACTTGACCAGCCTGAAGACAACTGAAAAAGTTAAGTATATAAAAAGGCAAGAAATAAAGGGGTTCTGGGGGGGCATTCATAAGTATCTGGGTAATTACCTTAGCCATATTTTCAGAGACATCCAAAACTAGGCAGACAACCCTTTCCCTGATCTGCATAAGTGAAAAGGATGGCGGTGATGGAAGTTCTGTTCCTGACTTTGGCAATGTGGATTTATAGTCATAAGAACTACTAATAACCTCCCAAGTGCTACGATAACTGCACATTTTGTTCTGCATATTTGGAGCTTCTTTTTCATGGTCATGATCATAACAAAATTCTGCAACCTTGAAAAAAAATAATTGAACAGTGTTAGACTCCTAAAAGTGAAGAGTAAAAAAGTATACAAAAATTAAGAAGTATCTATCATATTATAAATAATGCATACAGTATATACTTATAGATGAGGCAGCAAGGGCTATGGAATGTACAGCATGGCATATGAAATTATTATTATGATTATACAGGATTGATGTAGCACAGCACTTTACAATATAAGGAAGACATTACAATTACAATACAATTCAAGACACGATGGTAAAGGAAGGCCCTGCCTGTGAGAGTTTACAAACTAAGAGGGAGGGGCAAGTGATACACGAGGAGGTAGCTGTGTGGGGATGAATTGTTTGAGAACGTGATGGTTCAGCGGTTAGTTTGAGGTGGGATAGGCTTCCCTAAAGAGTCTTTAGTGATTGCCTAAAGGCAATCAGAGTAGGAGATAGATGGACAGGTTGGGGTAAGGTGTTCCAAAGAATAGGAGACACTTTTAGAGAAGTCCTGGAGGTGAGCACAGGTGGAGTTGACAAGGGAGCTAGAGAGCAGGAGGTCTTGGGAGGAACGGAGAGGACGGTTAGGGTGATACTTTGAGACAAGGTTGGAGATGTAGCGCGGGGCAGAGTTTTAGATGGCTTTGTAAGTGGTTGTTAATATTTTGAATTTTAAGCTGGAGCTGAAGTGAAATAGGGAACATACAGCATGACATATAGAATGAGGCAGTGTGGCAAAGGGAACGTTCAGCATGGCATATAGAATGAGGCGGTGTGGCATAGGGAACATACAGCATGGCATATACAATGAGGCGGTGTGGAAAAGGGAACATACAGCATGGCATATCGAGTGATGCGGTGTGGAATTGGGAATGTACAGCATGGCATATAGAATGAGGCAGTGTGGAATAGGCAACGTACAGCATGGCATGTGATGTGTACTAGATATTTTTCTACCTTTATAGAATAATCCCAGCTCCGTTCAGATGTGGACTGATTGCAGTGAAACCAAAGCCAATCAGTCCCCCAGTCACAGGCATGAGGAGAGGAGTTTGCCTTTTTAGTTAAGCTGTGCCCCATTCAGATCTCCCATCAGTGCAGAATTGAAGTGATTACAGTGACAAACAGCTCAGCAGATCACTGCTGTCACTTGTAAACAAGCATCCAGGGCATAGCAATGTCAATAATACTCACTTCCTCTGCTAGGTTATGCATTAAATAAGTCATCAGTCAGAGCCTGGCAAAGGAAGTGAGTAGTGTAACTTTCCCTGCCCCGGCTCTTTGTTTAAATGTGACAGCAGCGATCAGCTACGCTGTCACTGCATGTCTATACTAATGGGAGGTCTAAATGGGGCACAGCTTAACTAAAGGTACAAACACTGCCACTGTCCCTGAGTGGTGCAGCGCCCCCTCAAGTGGCACCTTTGGCATGTACCCTGCCGGCCATACCCTAGATATGCCACTGTGTATAATGGTGGTCTTGCTGCATCAAGACTACAGCGAAGTAAGGTTCTTTGTATTGCCCATACAAAATTATCAAGTTTTAATTTTCATTTGCATTTTTCTGATAAAATGTATAGTCAAAGTATTATTTTTCTAAATGCATAACAATATAAAATCAAGAAGAAATAACTGATTATTGATATGGTAGTCAGTAAATTAACAATACTGAATCAGTAGCACAAATAAATCTCTTTGTTATTTCTTAAGTTTGTACAATCAACTCAATTAGCTTACTTACCGAAGATAACGCTTGCATATACATTATAGATGATTTCGCAGTCTGGGTTCTGTTGGCTAAAAACATGCATCCCGCTTCTAAATTCCCAGTTTGAGGATCAATTATACAATTTCCATTTGAACAGGAGGTTTTCTTACAAATATACATGCCAGCTAAATCTGAGGAACATCTAGAAAAAAATACAGCCTGTCACGGCAAATCTAATTTTGAACAATCATTCTTTCATCACATCTGCTCCTACCTGGTGTGAACATTTGTTGTCCACACACAAGCAAATTTATAACAAGAAAGGCAGTCATGACAAAAATCTAAGTATGGAGTGAAATAATTTACAACAGATACCCTCAATGTAATTTGTCATGCTAATAGTGAAAAGATAAGCTGACAATAAGCATCCTTAAGGGAAAGTCAATTAACAAATGATGTAGATGTAAGACAGTTCAGTTCCAACACAAACCATTGGAAGTATAGTATATGGGAACCTTACATTCTCAATGAGTATGTGAATCATGGTCACTTTGCTTTCCCCTCCATGATGGCCTATATAGTAACTCCTGGGATTACATTTCCTCAGCCAACCTGATTTTCCGTCCCACTTGATTACTTTTTTTAATGATATTGTCAGGTAGGGCTTAAAAAATATGTTACTTGAATTACCTTGTAGCTTTAATTTTACCATCAACTGAAATATAAAATGGTTCTTCATAGCTGTATTCATCAAATACTCCCCATCGGAAGTGAGCCCATTCATGGACAAATACCTTCTCTAGAGAAAGAAAAAACAAATGCTGAAAATTGTATATATTTAATAAACAGAAAAAGAACACGGTGTAGGACTGGGCCCCAAACTAGATTATAGTTACTGGATAAAGTGTAATTTAACCGTAGAAGTAATGAGCAGCCAACCAGCCATATACTACATAACATATAGCCTTTATTGTGCTATGTATGCTTTTTCTTCACACTCTGGATTTTTTTCAATTAGTGCTTGAAGCTGCAAGTCGTGGTGTTGCTCCCCCCCCCCCCCTTTCCCATCATACTATCTACGTCCTGATATTGACAGGATAGGGGCAAAGTCACAATATTTCCCAGTCAGTCAGGCTTTACAAAGGGGGTGTGTGCAAACTGAGCCAAATGAGTTTTCACTTTAGGGAGAGGTTTTGATGTCATGTACCCGTCTACCTCTTTGTGCATGCAAGGCAAAGCTGATTGTGGATTCAAACACGGAATGCTGTAAATCCAGATAAGTGCTGAAATGGTTCAATGGAATATGTTATTTTCACTTGTCTGCACAAGGGAGGCTTTTTATTCACTTTGGTGGCGGTGACCGTGTATTTCCACTTCAGAGTGTTTATTGATGTGCCCACGGCTGTTTGAACTTTCATGCATTTTTCTCAAATACTTGAGGGGCCGAGCTCTTTAATGCTCTAAGGACAATAAACCAACCTTAGTATTCTCTGTTTGATGGACATCTATTCCAGAATGGGCAGGATCAGTGAAATATGGAAGTGGTACAAATGGATAGCTGCAATATCTAATATCTGCAACTGTTGTTACCTTTCTCTAAATGTGTGGTACAGGGTAATGTAATAGACAAGCACACAAAGTCATGGTGGAACTTTAAGTGTAACTTTTGTTGGGATAAAGAAATTACTTCCTAACATTATACCTAAACTGCAAGGTTGTGCTTGACATCTGGAGACAATCAGGCCATATATTCCTGCAGCCACACAATTAAATTATATATGTAATGCCACACTTAATTATAAGTGCATCTGCATTACAGTTTTCTCTTAGGCCCCTTTCACACAGGCGGTCTGATTGGGTCCGCCTGTCAGTTTTTCAAGTGGGCCCGATCGGATGCCCAATGTAAGTCTATGCTCAGCCGTGTGCAAACGGATAGGCATCCGTTTACACCTAGTTATCCCCGACTCCGGCAAGGTCCGAAAAAACAAACTAAATAGTGTTCTGTTTTGCCGAGCTGATTGTGCCAGATCAGGAGTAATCTGAGGTAAACGGGCATATCTGTGTTTACATGCAATTCCCCATAGACTGACATGGGGTCCCGTAATTGCAGTTTTTTCCTCCATTGCAAGATGGAGGAGAAAACTGTAAAGACACGGATGTCGTAGGAGTGACATCCAGTCCGTACTATTGTGATCTAAAGAGGATCCATCTCCTAATCAGCCCATATGAAAGGGGACTTAGTCACCCTGTAAAATCCCACAAGAAAGGCTGATCTTGCCACCTAATTGTTGAAGTCCACTTAATTCAGCTTCCTTTGAAGGTGTGGCACTGTTTCTAATTTCAGAGCAGAGTTGCCACTCTTCTATGGGCTGTGCCACTATGGGACACAAAATGCTGCGGGGGCATGGCTATCAGCATTGTCATTGCTAATTCAGAAGCCCGTAGCTTGTCATTCAGCACCTGCGCACACCTAGTCTTGCCCACTGCATTCTTGATTGAAAACACTGCCTCTTGCTGAATACTTCCCACTGTGAGCTGTAGTGTCTGGGAAGGGGGGCATGTGAGACACAAATGAAAGAGGATTTGGCTCAGTCAGGGAAGGTAAAGGAAGTATTTTGTTTACTTTACGAGGCTTGTGTATCACATAGTTACTGGTTTTGGCAGTTGTATAGACTGTAATGCAGGAGCCTTTAGTTTTAATGTAACCAACGAATACCACCATAACTTTGTACACTTTAACCTACCATGATAAGTTCATCACAGTATGGTACAACCATGCCCTCTTTCAATATTAACTTCTATCCTCTTGGCAGGAGTATTAGGTCTGTTTCCTTTTAGCCAACTACCATTTACCCTTTGTTGCAGATCAGCTAGGCAGACGTAACATTTTAAAATAGGTTTCAGCATCTAGTTTTTACAATGAGAATAGCTGTTTTTCATCTGCATAATCATAGCAGTTCAAGCCATATCATTGGATTATTAAACACGTAGTATTAATTAGTATGTAGCAGTTAATGTTAATCATACCTCTAACCTTACTGTACTCCATTTACAGCAAGGATGAATAGTCAAGCACACCTGTTATATGAGTAGTTTACAAAAGGATCTGCAGATGGTGCACTTTTTGATGCAAGCCCTCTGATACTGTCCATACTGAAGATTCATTATGTGATGACGGTAACTAATGCTCAAACGTGCAGTGCAATGACAATTAAGCACTTCATTCTACCATTAGTACAAAAACTAAAAGAACCTGAAAACCAATGTCTGAATTGCTTCAATGTGAATATATATTCAGTGAATATATGAACCATTTAAAGTGACACTAAACTCAGGAGTTAAATCTTAAAAATGCAATCAAGTACCTTACCTATTAACAAAAATGTACCTTATTTGCCGGCGTATAAGGCAACTGGGTGTATAAGACGACCCCCTAATTTTCCACTTAAAACATAGGTTTTGGGCTATACTCGTCATATAAGACTACCCCACTTCCGAGGCAACACCATTTAAAAAACATCATGGATGGATGTGCGGTAATACTGTATGTACGGTAGCTTCAGCTACATACAGTATACCGCGCTGAGCCAATCATGGCGAGCAATGTATTCTATTAATGAATACAAAGCTTGCTTGGATTGGCAGAGGTTGTGTACATCGCCGCCGAAGCTACCGTACATACAGTATTACCGCACATTCAGCGGGCTGACAGATTAGGGATGTTCGTTTTGGGCCAGCATGGCCTAAACGAACTAAAGGTATACATTGTATACCCTGCGTATAAGATGACCCCCGATTTTCGGGCGATGTTTTTAAGTATAAAAAGTAGTCTTATACGCCAGCAAATACAGTATTTTATTTTTCATCACTCAGCTGTATTTGTTGTAAACAAGCCACTTTAATACTAATTTGTATTAAAGTTTTAGTCTATCACAGGAGCCAGCTTGGAGATGTGGCTACTGTACAACACACACAGGGACCATGGGGAACAAAAGTAGCCACCCTCCAGAAGGTAGGACAGGGTCAGCACCAATTCAAAGATAATTTGAGGATCTGAGTGATGAACAAATAAGATACATTTTTGTTAATAGGTAATGTGCTTTAATGTGTTTTTAAGATTTAACTTCCGAGTTTAGTGTCATTTTAGCTAATTTCTTGAGAAATATCAAGAAACAATTATTAGAACTTAGCAACAAACACTTCACTCTTATCTATAGCACCATCTAGTGGGCAGATAAGGAAACAGCACCCTTATTTACTCCTACCCCACTACCATACAGCAATAATGAAATAGCCAATAAAAACTGATGTTTTCCCCCCAGAACTGTGACCTTAGTTACAGTGAACTATAATGTTAAATACAATTGGTGTAGAATAGCAATTTTAATGCAAATTACCCAGAGAATAACTCATCTTGGTTGATTGGGTGGTGATTGGTATGAGTGATTGGGAGTGTGAACTGCCCGGCTCATTTGATTACAGGAATTGCTTTATATATAAAGTTTGGAATAATTATTTATGAAAAAAAATGAATGAAAGACGTTTTGAGTGGTTTCATTTGAGAGCACTTCTCGTACCCACATCTTTTTTTGTATAGCATAGTAAATGGAAATCATATTGCCTACTTATTATGGTGATTTAAAAATTTGATCCGTTAAAGAATTTGGGCAAGTGTCACCGGTATCTGGACGTAGTATCGGGGCATTTTCACGAGTACTCGTGAAAATGCCCAGTATTGGCACTGGTGCATCCCTACTTAATAATATAATGTATTGCTGGGACTTGTAGTCCTGCATAGTTGGTGCTATTCTGCATTGCTGTATAATCATTATACAGCAATGCAGAATACCACCAGCTATGCGTGACTACAAGTCCCAGCAATACATTATAATAAAAGTCAGCTATGCAGAATACCACCAGCATCCCCACCCCCACTATAATGCATTGCTGGGACTTGTAGTCCTACATAGTTGGAGCTATTCTGCATTACTGTATAATCAGTATAATCATCATACATCAATGCAGAATACCACCAGCTATCAATACATTATAATAAAAGTCAGCAATGCAGAATACCACCAGCTATGCAGGAATACAAGTCCCAGCCATACATTATAATGAAAAGCAGCAATGCTGAATACCACCAGCACAAGCCCCCCCTCCCGGTCCAGGCTTAATACACAACACAACATCCCACACTGGACCATAGGCTGAGGATCCACTCCAGTGCTCGTAAGGTAGGGAGGAAGGGTGGACCTTAAAAAAAAAAAAACTTTTTTTGAAATGTGTGTGTGAGAATGTCTGTGAGTGCCTGAGATTGTGTCTGTGATTGTGTATGTATGAGAAACACTGCTCTAGACCATTATTTCCACCTTTGTTTTGGAAGACTGCCGTGTTATTCTAACAGGTTTAGCAGGTCCCTGTAAATCACCATTTGTTACAGCTAATGTAAAATACATCTGAATGGCCCCATGGTGATTTTAGTGGCTGAAACACCGTACGTGCTGAAGATATCCTGTATATTGTATCAGTATTTGCAGGGTCTTACCACGCAGACCATAAATCAAAAGAAGATTATCATCGCTTAGGAAGTCAGGAGTAAAATGTATGTATCGTCCTTCATTTCCACATCCTCCGTAATGTAACGTATATGGATCATTTCCATAATATGCATTTGGGTTGCTGACTATTATACTTGCCTGAAAATAATAAGAATATGATTCATGAGAATAATGAGATTTACATTAAATTTTCCTAAAGTGTATCTAAATTATAAACCCAAAACTAAAAATTTAATGTATTGCAGCTTACCAGTCCTTATATGCGGTGGTGGCATAAAGGGGGAACTTGAAGAGCCGCGGGAGAGGCAGGAGAGAATCAGCAGTGCCAAAGAAGCCAGCGCTAGAAGAAGCAAGGCGGCACCGGAAGGAGCAGAGCCGCATAAGCCGATGCTTCCTCTATAGCGCCGCCTCCTGTCACAGGTGGAGTGATAGCAAATGCACCCCACCTGTGAGGAATCGATAGTGAACGTGCGCTTCACTCATTCTGGCCCCCCTGATTGCCCTGATCACCATATCTTTGTACATGAATACATGGAGACTTTTCTACATGAATAAGTGTGGATTGTTGTACATAAAAAAAAAAAGAATAATAAGACCTACCCCAAAAATAAGACCTAGACAGTGTCTTATTTTCGGGGAAACACGGTAGTAGGTTAAGAAGAAAGATGCTATTGTTTTTTGCAGTTGAGCTCACAGTGACAAGAACAGTGACACTGTATTTTTGGCAAGATCAGGTATTTTCTGTACTTGTGTGGCAGTGCGTGGCAATGCCACTAGAGTGGCAAAATGGTCACCCAGGACACTCAGCCAGTGGGGCTGAGCAGTTCCAGGACAGAAGTACTTTTACCAGGAAAGAGCTGGCTTTACACTTCTTTCTGGGTTTTCTAAATTATAACTGGGATCCCGGGAACTGGGAAATTTCTAAGAGAACTGGGAGGGATGCCTTCTAGTAGTTAAATGATTTGATCTATTTTTTTCTGTGCTGCCCGTACCTTTGTCTAGTACCTTTGATCTTTATAAGTGATCTTGCTAAAATAAATATCCAAACTCGCAAGTTGTCTGTAAAGGGGCTGTAATAGCAGTCTTGTGTAATATGTCTCCAGTCTGCAAAAATATGTTTGCAGTCTCTAACAGCTTTCTGTAGCATTGGATTCACTGCCTATTGTGCGGGGCCCTTTGGTTATATTAGAGCCTCACTTGAGGCCACCTATACAAAGTAAGTTGACCAGCACTCTTCTAGACTGTTGCATATATACTGTACATATATGTGATGGTGTGTGTGCAAGACAATGATTCTAAGCATTATGCAAAAGTATGTTGAGAATTGACTCCAAGCTATTCAGTGCTTTAAATCAATGAGCCATTAGTACTTTATCACTTAATATTTGTCACAGTCTCATTATTGGTCCTGCCTTATCTGGCAGTTCTGTAAACCTGAACATACAGTACCATCTGATGGGCTTCATGTCTTGGTTTTTGCAAGCTGTATGCTTTCCAGCTAGATGGTATTAGAATCTTCACTTCTCTGTAAAAGAATCTTCGTTTTGTGGCATTAAATAGGTAATGTGATGCTTCTGTTACCATTTTCTGAAAACAGAGATATATGAAAATCAGTGTAACAAAAAGAATAAGCAAAACATATATTTTAAATATGAGAAAGGAAAGCAATATTGTTTTTTGGTCAATTTTTGGTCTTATAGAATTTGTATTAAGTGTATAATTATTTATTTTTCATTTTTTTTAACAGTCGATTTTTATTTAATTTTAAAATGAGAGAGAAAATCCAAACCACTAAACACAATGTAGGAAAGAACACAGGGAAGGGTTAGTTACAGATCATAGCATATGCAAGTTCTCACCTAAGAATATCAATGTGCCCTTTGGAAGGGTACTGTACTGTCACAATAATTGTATAAAAATATGCCACAATGCATAGTTATAGTTAATACTTATATTAATGAAATGAGAATCGCATAGTTAATGTTCCTTAAGCCATGTATTATAGCAGTTGTATAGCTGGTTATTATACTGCCATCTTGTGGGCATTTTGGTTATTGCACCATGTTTTTCTTGTGTTCCCTCCCCTTGTGTGTGATGTACTTCCTTCGTCTCCAAGTATTGTGTCATGGCTGCCTATAGCAGGACCACATGTACATGCTAGCTTGGAAACATTATCATCCTTGACCTTCAAATACTGTCTGTTCATTCATCTGATGTATCCTGTTTGTCTGCTGCATGCAATAAAGCTCTTCGTGGATGAAAAGGTATTTGGTGAGTTCAACTATCTGAATAGGTACCTTGGAGCATTCACTATGTAGAAATAAAAGCTACTCATGGTCTGAATACAGTCATTCCGAGCTGTATAGTGATTATGAGAGTACTGTGATAGTGGTTTTGTTTTGCACTCAAATATTTTAATATTGGGTTTGCATGTGGTGTTGATTTTCCAGAGTATTTAGGCCTTTTCAAAGAGAATGCCCAGTACTAACTGCTCACTTTCTGATAGTCCTAATCTAACTGAAAGTCCAGACAGAGAAGTATTTACAGGGAAGAGAGGATGAGATGTATACCTATGGAGTAGTAGTACACTCCATGGCCTATCAGCCAAGGAGACTGACTGATTTCAGCTACCCTTATCTACACAAGCATCACAGAGCTTACAGCTGATTTTTTTTGCCTTATTATATGATCATCATTACCACAAACCACACGGGATAGACTCTTCATCGAAATGAGATAAGTACATAATTAATAAATGCACGTATGTCTGCACACTAAAGACATTCTATCAACCTTCCCAGGGAGTGCCGATCTGGGCAAATAGACGGCATATGAACATACACACAATATACATTATTCTCTGATGTGGTTGTTTCTGCACGACTTGGAAGAATTAGAAAACTCACCATCTCATTGAAACAAAACAATTGTTTTTTCCTATCCATCTTTGGTCGATTACATAGGCACAGAAACATTGTATCAGCTTTTCCAGAGATCACTGGTCCAGGCAATTACATGGACTAAACAGATGGACATGAGTTACATTTCTTTCTGATGTGGCTGACTGTGCACTACTTTGCTTTTGAATAATGGAGCCTCCACTCCTAGACCAAGGGACTCTCGTGTGCATGGGGATCAAGAATCATGATTTAATCAATATATAAGAAGCACTTTTGTTTTCGTTTGTGTTTCCGTTGGACACTGTGTTGTCCTTAGCAATTGAAGTTTCGAAATCCTACGGATGTCTCATCAGAGATACTGATCTTTTTTCGGCAAAATTCTTCTAACGTTGTGGCCAATCATTGGTTGTAATCATTGGAATTTGATACTATATATCGGAGATGACACATCAACTGTACTCGAGGATCACGATCAGATGTTTCTATATTTTGGATAATTTTGGTTAGCTGATATCAGGTTCACACATATTTGGATATCCATGATATACGATTTATAGCTATAATTATACAATATTCAAGCCATGGCTGGTATGGACTTTGTTTTTAGGATGTTTTAAATGTTTGTTTATACATTATTTTTTTTATTTCTTTATATAAGGTTGTTAACCCCTTCATGACCGAATCCTTTTTTCATTTTTTGCACCCATGTTATATTCCACATTTTAGGCCTGAACATTACTTAAAACCCCCAAACATTATATATTTTCTGAAAGCCAAGACCCTATAGAATAAAATGGTGGCAGTTGCATTTTTATGTTACACGATATTGGCACAACTTCTTATCAAACCCCAAAATTTAATGAAAAATGAACTTAAATTCCCCAAAACACTATAAAATACCCATGTTTTAAATAAAATATGAGGTTACAACGAGTAAATACATACCCAACATGCCCAGGTTAAAAATTGTGTGCGTCCGTGGCGACAAACCTCAGTAGCCCAAAAGGTAAAAGAACAACGCTTTAAAAGCCCCCACAGGTCATAAATTTAGAGATACCCAAAAATACTGGCCCTAGAATTATTGCTCTCACTCTGGCGTGCGCGGCGATACCCAACATGTATAGCGCGTTCGTCGTTTTCATACGTAGGCACACCAGATGCATGTTTACGTGGCGACATGCGTGCTCGCGGGGGCGGGGAACTTAAAATGTTTTTATTATTTTTAGATTTATTTTATTTCATTTTAATTTTAAAAACTGTTATTTTTTTTACTTTACTTAGAATGCTATCACATAGGGGGGATTACAAGCCCCCCATGTGATAGCAAATGGTAGTGACAGGTACTCTTTAAAGTAAGGCTGGGGGGTCCACGGGTCCCAGGCCCGCAGGAGGTGCAACAGAGCCCGGGAAGCATGGCGGGGTGTCAGGCAGGGACCCTTCACCGGGCTGTAGAAGCGATCTGGCGACAGCTGAGTCGCCAGAATCGCTTCTATTGTAAAGCCGACAGTCGGCTGAACAAGTTTAAACAGAGCAACTGTTTAAACAGCCCTGATGCTGGCCACGTACACTATACGTTGTCAGTTGTGAAGGGGTTAATAAATGTATACCATTTTTGGAATTGATAGTTCTATATTAATTTTCCTTATTGGGATCTCCATTTGGGGAAAGCCTTTCTTTTTTGCATTTCTAAGAGAGACCTAAATAGGTTGATAAAATTATATATTGTTTAACTGCTGTCCGATTTCTCAATTTCCCCGTTTTTTGAATACTGATAAATCTTTGTTTATTGTCATGTGACAGTTTTTCTAAAACAATACAGGCCAATGATTTCAGGACAGTGATGGAGCGCCAGAGCCAGGTCCCAGCTGCAACCCTGGTAGCTCTCGTGAAAATGCCAAGTATCAGCACTGGTATCCAAACTAGTATCTGAACATCCCTAACAGAACCAATAAAAACCAGTAGAATAAGGTGATAGGACGGAACCCCTGGCAGGGAGAATCTGGAGCGATGTAAAACACCAGTAACCTCGATCCCTGTATTGATAAATGGTTTACGCGTTTCGGGGGCACGCCCCTGATGAAGGATTCAGGAGTGTCCATGCTGGATGAGGAGGAGACTGTCAACTACTTTGTGACAGCCCACGATAACCTCTACAATCCCAGTGATGGCCATTACAAGACCCGTGGCAAGTGACAAAGGGTCGATGAAGAAATTGGGCTTGAAGTTTTCCTACATTGGGTGTTCCAATAGCAGACAACACAACACACAGAATAAACAGGAAGTAGAGAAGAGGACAAAAACAGCAGATGATGTCACAGGTTATACAGGTTTCTGTTAGCCAAAACAAAAACATCTGACACTTGCAAACACATGAAAAATGCTTTTAAAGACAAAAAGGGCAAAAACACACAAAGTTTGCTTCAAAATCAGTTATGAGTGCTCATGTTCAAGTGTAAATAGGGCCTAAGCTCCAACATTTTTTTTTGTTTGTGATTAATCAAGCACATATGATATTAACACTTTAGGCACTGTATCTATAACAAACAATCAAAGACAGATGGCCGAGAATTTCTAAACAGATTTTAATTAAGGTAGATAATCTTCTGCATAAATGCATTCTAAACTTGGTCTGTGCCCCTCATTTATATTTCTAGACACCACCTTAAGTGTATCTTTCTAATTAGATATGATGATTTGCAATATGCATTAAGATTTCCCCGTGCATTTAGAGCAGAGGTCTTACATAAATACAGGCTGGGGAAACACACCATTGTCTAATATCCCTAAACATCAGGAATGTCTCTTACCTTGAGATTAGTGATTATGCGCGGATCTTCTGGAACGTGTGCATGGATTGCGATAATTATGTTTTCATAGCCATGATCCCTAAGCTGGATGTTTGCTGCTGCCTGCATGTTACAGTGGAAGTCCTGCATTAAAAACAAACTTAGGAGATACAATGCTATGTGCATCTTCATGGGAATCCTTCATGCTGTTCTGCTTTGAAGAATGAATTCTGTCTCATGGATGTATTACGCAAGTCGTCAGGGTGTGCCTGTCTAATAGACAGGTTTGGGAGTTTTCCTTAATTTCCTTTTGCATCTTATTCATCATGTTCAGTTGTCGGTGTTTCATACAAGGATTATATTTCTTAATATTTGTTCCTTACATTATCTCCTGTAAAATGCACTTCTATTAAAGGCTCATGATAGAACTGGATCTGGAGGTCAGGTATTATTGATGGTGCAGATTTTCTGCAGTAGATGCTTTATTGTCCAACTTGTCCTAGATAGATGGTCATATGCTATGATTCCAGGACAACCAGTAAATTCAGACAGAGAATGCTAGAAATTATACCTAAAGGCATATCTCACCTTTTGCAAAAATAAAAAAAGATGCACCCAAATATTTACATTTAAAGCATGCACGTTTATTATTTTCTGCATTAAAGTCTGCAAGGCATTGCAATGCATAGGCTCCTGCTGACTATTCCCCCAACCTGGAGTTAGGTATTGTGGTACAGACCTTTGGTTCTAAGGCTGGAGGAAGTAATCAATAGATTACAAGTGCAGTGACATCAACTGCCTACTAGTTCCTGTGTGGCAGTGGTAGGTGGGAATGGTAGACTTCCATTCATCATTCATAGACCTGTGTGAACAGATCTGTGAATGGATAGTGGATAGTGCAGAAGAAGCCACTCACAGCCGTGCCGAAAGCAAAAAAATTAAGATGCTACAATTCAGTTGAGGGGGGAAAGTTGGGGGGGTTGGATGCTGTGTGTGACCATTTTTTAATGTTACTCCCTAATGGTCAGAAAGGTGGAAATAGTGTTAAAGCAGTTTCTGAAAACATAATAAACTTGCCAATGGACTGAAATTCTGCAAACTGAAATACCAACAGTTATATCGGCTGTAGCAAACTCAGCTTATCCTGATTCGGGTCCAAAAGTCAATTTGTTTCGGGATTCGGACGAAAGTCGTTCGCGGTAGTCTGTACGACTTCTTTCGTTTTGTTCGTTGCAGCAAAGTGGCGTTACATTTTTTTTTATGTCACTTTGCTGCAACAAAATTTCGCCCACAAACAAAAACTCGTACAGACTATCGCTAACTAATTTCGGATTCATTTTCATTCGTCATTTCTGTTATTCGTAAATTCGGATACATCCGAATCTCCGAATAACGAAAATGCGGCCGAAAAACAAATTTTTCCGAAAACGAATCGCACATGTCTATTGTCTAGTTTATTGCACATTATACAGTGGGGCAAAAAAGTATTTAGTCAGCCACCAATTGTGCAAGTTCTCCCACTTAAAAAGATGAGAGAGGCCTGTAATTGGCATCATAGGTGGACCTCAACTATGAGAGACAAAATGAGAAAACAAATCCAGACAAATCACATTGGCTGATTTGGAAAGACTCCAGGCAAATCGCTAAACTCACAATGAAATACAAATAATGGAGCTGTTTTCTGTATTCCTGTTCATTCTTTCTTGAGATTGACACATCCCTGCCAGGCAGCACAGCCAGCCTGGAGATCCGACTTTTCTCTAACCAAAGTGAAGTAATACAACTAGGTCCTATTCTGTCCCCAGTCTGTGACAAGACAGTGAATAAAAAGCAGAAAAATGGCGATGTAATCTCTATGTCACTCTTTTCTCTCCCCCATCAGAATGTTTCCGGTTAGCACTGCAGAACAACTGAATGTCTCCTAGTGCTGCTTCTCCTCCCAGTTTGAGCTCTGCTGTACAGGGAAGGGCAAGAGGCTGATACCTCAAAGTCAAATTCAGGTACTTGCATCCGTTGCATTTAAAAACACAGAGCGCACTGGCCGTGGGAAGTACATATTGCTATTCATCAGGAATAAAATGTGAATGACACTGACAAACATATCACACAGAATATAAAGCCCCCTGGGGTGGGAGGATGGGGCCTCAAAAAGGCATCAGCTATTTCTAGCATTAGCTACTCATAGGCACTTTTTGTTGGATGCTAGTGGCAGTTGGTGACCGTCATCCCTCCTGTCTATGTGTTTTGGCAAATATCTTTATATGCTGTAGGATTTTCTCTGTTTGTATCATTCACATTTAATTCTTAAAGCGCAACTAGACTAGAATGGAATTACCTCCTCCAATCTGACCCCCCTTCCCCCATGTGATATTTACCTTTCGGTGAATGCTCCACCCCCTCCGCCAGTGCAGGTGTACTATCTGTACCCTTTACTGCCATAGTACAGCCCTGCGCTCTGGGTTTTGAATTTCATTCGCAAATGGCAAGTACTCATTGGTCAGCATAGTCACTTGACTGCTCTGACTAATGAGAACCACTTCTTAGCAAGAAGCGCTGCTCTTTGGTCACCACGGTAAGAAGCACTTCTCATTGCATGAGTGCTCGCAATAGAAATAGAGGCTAAGATGACACCATCTTTGACTGATCAAACAAATGCACGGCTCTAATCAATAATCATAATACGTGAATAATATAGTGCTAAGTATCAAATAGATCACATATAACCAATATAATGAATAAATACTCATACATAGTAAAAAGATAGGCTTTTTTTAAATGGTGTTGATTATTACAGGTAGTACTGGATTTTAAATTGGTTAAGAATGAGTTGTATAGGATTTTGAGTGACCTCTGGTGGCCACTTTCTATTATTATAATTGCTTTGGATATACACTTCCTGTCATGTGAGTGACCTCCAGTGGCCACTTTTATTATTACAATGGTTTTGGATATAGACTTCCTGTCACATGAATGACATCCAGTGGCCACTTTGACCATTACATTTCCTATGGATGCAGACTTCCTGTTACATGAGTGGCCACTTTTATTATTGAAATTGCTACGAGTCTAGACTTCCTGTCACATCTGACAGTTTCCTGTTTGGGAGAGATATAAGGAAAGCAACAAGTAACCTCAGTACGTCTGCACTTTCTTGGAAAAGTCTTTGTACAAAACGCGTTGAAAGAAGTGGACACGCACTGAGGTTGGGACACACCAAGTTGGAAGGATTTTAATTGTATGATTATTCTGCATAATTTCATTGGACTGAATTTCATAGTCCCGATCGTGGGTACAATTTCTTCTAATGCGCACCAGCTGACTCTTTGGGATAATATTGACCCATCTGGGATGGTGACAACTATGGGTCGGTATGTAACCATTTCTGTCGGTACTTTAAAAAAAAAGGTCTTAGTGCAAATATAATTTCCTTCTATAAAAATAAATAAATCTAAAAACTGTATCTTTTTGTAAAACCTATACCGTAACGGTTATCCACAATATTCACTGAGAAATTGGATAATAAACTTTCAGAACCTTCCCATATGAGCAGAACATCATCTATGTACCTTTTCCAAAAGGTGAGCCCTTCCCATTGGGTACTAAAAATAACCTCTTCTTCCCACTGACACAGATGTTAGCTTTTCATCTTTTATATTTACATTTATCACTTTGAGACAGCTTCCACAGCGCAGAATTTTTTTCATATTCAACCATCTTTGACTGTAAAGGATAGGAAGGTGTAGTTATGCTTTAGTATTAGCAATACATACTTCATAAGGCCAGGGCATTGTTTTGTTTGTATGGCACCAGATCACCGATCTGTCAAAGGAGCTGCCTGCTGTTATGCATGGGCACAGAAGATATGTGTACACCCACCTGTGACATATACCAGCTGGCCTTACTTGATTGTGTCTGAAGCGCCGTGGGACTAGAAGACATCCAATGATTTTTAATGACGCATACCAAAACCACATAAAGCAAACTTATTAAAAAAAAGCAATAACAACATTTATTTTAAGCTAACATATTTTACACTTTACACATGCTAAAAAAAGCATAGATGACAAAGTAAACCTTTTATTTACACAACACTTTATAAAAAGGTGCAAATGATCTGTCTTCTTCACCTTTTGTGCACATGCTCTTCAGTTTTATTCTGATCAGGTCGTGCAGTTTTTGAAAAGGGTCAGTGGGATGCAGGCCAGTAACATGAAACAACATTTGTTGGATTAGATGTCGGTCAAGCTGGATTGATTAGTGAAGTCTTTGAATCTCTCATGCAGTTGCCAGTAGAGTCATTTATAAAGTAACATAGGTAATAGGTAATTGGCTAACAGGACCGTCTTTGACAAGCTCACTGCCAAAAAAGGTTTTGTAAACATTAAATACAGATGACAAGTTGTTACAATAACACAATTCGTGGACCGCAACCGAGCCTTCGCCACAAAGATTCGCTCTGAACACATTAGGTTTGTGACCACTGGTGGAAGTCAAGGTACCTTATTTAGGGTTTGTTCATACCGAAAGCGTGTGCGTTCAAGAGCGGTAGCGTTGTGTTCCACTGCAAACGCAAAAAAATAGAGCAAGCCCTATTTTTTTGTGTTTGCAGTGGAACGCAACGCTGGCAAAGTTTTGCCAAGCGTTCAATCGCACTTCAGGCGGGCGTGGAAGCGGTGCCATTTAATTCAATGCACCGCCACGCCCCCTCACGCCCCAAAACGCAGGGGGAAGTTTCTTAGTGAGCGCGGTGCGTTCCAGCAGCTACCGCTCTGGAACGCACACGCTTTTGGTGTAAACAAGACCTTAGAAGATGGAAGTAGCTCAATATATCAGATGCAGAGTAACTAGACAATAGCAAGGCAATAACTTATGTTTAGCAAAGCCAAAGAAGTAAAATCCTGAGTCTGGCATGGCTGCTTATGTAGCTGGAAAGATGATCATATAAACAAAATATAAAAGGACATATCTGGAAAAGTTGGCTTAAAGAACTGTAATCATACACAAATCAAACAGCAACATGATTCACTTGAGACATTGAGGGCTTGTTCACATCAGTTGTGTTGCGTTCCAGAGCGGGAGCTGCTGGAACGCACCGCACTCGCTCACAAAACTTCCCCCTTCGTTCTGGGACGTGAGTGGGTGTGGTGGTGCATTGAAGTCAATGGCACCGCTTCCGCAGTGCGATCGGACGCGTGGCAAAACATTGCCTGCTTACCGTTCCGCTGCAAACAATAGATCATGCAGAATGTTCTGCGTTTGCAGTGGAACGGAACGCAGGCAATGTTTTGCCACGCGTCCGATTGCACTGCGGACGGGGGTGGGGGCGTGGCCATTGACTTCAATGCACGACCACGCCCCCTCCCGCCCCAGAATGAAAGGGGAAGTTTTTTGCGAGATTGCGGCGGTGCGTTCCAGCAGCTCCCGTTCTGAAACGCAATGCAATTGATGTGAACAAGCCCTTATGTTTTATATTAAACCGGTCAAGCAGACCTAAAAGGGGCTATTCACAACTATGTCTTTTAATGCATGTGACACGCCATTGTTTTAAATGGCGCTGGTTCACATCTTTGCCATGTGTCGTCTATATTTTGATGCATCGATGTGAATTATAAGGTCTACTGATGACAATGAAAACACATGATTGTTGAGAACATGTCAAAATGCATGAAATCATTCAAATGGAGTGCAGGATAAGTTACAGGATAAGTCCAGTAACTTTTTGTCTCAGAGGTTGAGAAAAACCCATTGGGAGGAATTCATAAGAACTGGAGCGGATAGAAGACACTGGAGGAGCATCACTGTTTCATTTTCACAGCTTAACTGAACAAACTGATGAGAGAAGCTGATTGGTTGCCATAAGAAACCAACCTGCCCCAGTTCTTATGAATTTCCCCCATTATTACATTTATTAGTGTTTTATATAAAAACGTGCCGCTGATCAGAGAACCACCTCCTTCAATTAAATAGCAGCCAAAAATATGACAGTATATTTAGTGTACACAAATGTTGTAAAAACGTTCCCCAACTACCGCCGCATATGATTAGTAGAGGTGTCACGAGGTATTCTTTAACCCGTCCGGCAAAAATTCTTCAATGCTAAATCCTTGAATTGGCCGTTGAAGTGGCAGTATACGGAAAACTCAAATGTTAACATAAAAGGTACAGTATGTTAGCAAACTATTAAGGATAATTAAATAATGAGCAATAAGGGCTGAAATATTTACCTTTTCTGGAAAAAAAATGCTGATAGTCATGTCAACTTTGCCAAAGATAGGACCAGTGTACAGACGTCCTGATCCTCTCCTTCAGAGACAATGTGACAAGAAAACCTAGGCCCTTAGACATGAGGCCAGCTGTGAAGAGGGCCTGGAGCTGGATATTTTTTTTCCAGAAAAAACATTTCAGTCCTGCTGAAATTCTCTATTTATACATCAATGTAAGACTGTTAACATTGCTTCATGGGGAGGCTGATTAATGAAATTCTGGGATTATAAAAGTGGTGCAAAAGTGAAGTTGTTGCCCAAAGGAATCAGATATCCGGCTTCATTTAAATAAAATCTGTCTGCTTCCCCTGGGTATCAGGTTCAGTTTTTCTTTTCAGAAATTAGTATAGTAAGAACCGGCTTATGGAATAATCAGCTGCACTGGCTTATGGAATAATCAGGAAAGATACAAGATGATAGATAAGATGGAGAAGAGAGATGGAGAAGAGAGATAGATAAAGATAGAATTACTCCTTTAGCTCCAGTGCACCTCTACTAGGGGTTTATAGACCAGAGATGTGACCAAGCCTTGCTTCAGCCATTAGCAAAGGTATATAAGCAGCGCAAAACTCATTCATGTATCAGTAAGTGGGAGAGGGACACAACTGCAGCTTCAGAAAAAGGGGTTACATTTTTTAAGAGTATAGCATATATATTATAATGCATAAGGGACAATGATAGTACCAATGAAAGGCTGCACTAAAAGAAAATAAGATTTTACTGGTACAAAGGTGGCAATATATGACTTTTTACTACTTTGACTGGTCGTCCTCTGTAATGTGGCAGCCACTACACCCTAAATGCTTCAAATGAAACCGATGCATTCTAAAATGTTGGAGTGATGAGTGCTTGACACTGCCACCCCTGAGAGTTACCCAGTTTAAAGATTATTGCTCTGTGAAATAGTGGAAAGTGAACAGAACTGGTTCCGGTTTATACAGCAAATGTATTGTTTATGGCAACTAGCACTAGTAAAGTCCTCTCTGGATTTTGCCTGTGACGATAGAATGGCCACACTCATCTAGAACTACACTGCCAAAGTCTGGTTTTTTTTTTTGTAATCTTTACAGCTACTAACAATGGTTGAGTATTTGCAGAACTCCATAAATCTATTTCAGGACGATGAGTATTAGTCGGAGTGTCTAGACCTATTTGGTGGAGTATGAGCTGGATCGAGTAGACTTTCTTTAGGTAGTTGAGTGTGCACACCTAGTATGTTTTTGAATGCTTGTTAGACCTTGGAAAACAATTACAGAGGTTAATATAAACCTGGATTAAAAATGCTATCCTGTAGGGAACATCTAGAAATGTTAAATCTGTCTAAGCAGTACCCTGAAAATGGAGCTTTAGTTTTAAATTCCTCCTAAAAATGGCAGAGCACTTCTTGTGCCTTGAGCCCAACAGCTGTATATCTGCAGTGAGACATCATTTAAGGCACTGTGCCTGTAACTGCTTGTCTCATTAGATCTGGAGTGAGATATGGTGACTTCATTACTGTGCTGCTAACTGCTCTCCACAGAGCCTATGGAGGTCTGCACCTTCTGCTTCTCCTTAAATAGAATGCACAGCACTACCTTTGCCAAGGTGGTTGCCTATACACAGAGACATAGCTCAAAAAAAAAAAACACGGTAAGGTAGTAATGGGTAAAAGATCAGCTGCAAGAAACCTATACTGGTAAAAATTCCTTTGTTCGCTACTTGCTTCTTTTTTTTTTATATAGATACTACGTCCACAGTTTAGCTCCTCTTTACGAATCAGTTGGACTGAGTGATCATGAAAATATCACTCAAATAGACTTGGAAGGTGGCATATTGGAATGCTGCAGTCTTCATAGAGATATACTATTCTCTTCGGTCAGTCAGTAAGCCACTATTCAAAGTTAGCACCTTAGTACTTACTGTACATGAAATTGCCGGATTGGATCATTGTATGAGAAAACGTGTATATGGCCCACATATGTTAATACTGACTTTCATTGCTGATCAGTCTACACAAAACTTTTTGTTCTCTACATCTGTTTCTCTACACAAACTATACAATTTTGCTACATCTTTTAAAGGCAACACAAGACCATTATCAAGGGTAGCAGTCTGTGCAGGCTTTAGAGGCACAAGGAAGTTGGATGAGACACTAGTGCAAGTGGCTGTATAATGTACTGCAGCATTTTAGAATGTTTGGGGGAAAGCTGCGATTAGTTTTTATTTACATTACCGTGAACTTAGACCGCTGTAAACGAAGATCATAGGTATGCCGGCACAGTCATGTGCTATGATGCTCTTGTAAGGACTTCAGATTCTTAACCAGACCATGAAGCTGCAAACCACCTCGTACCCACTTGGTGTTGAATACCTTTGGACATGTCAAAACACCTACTAATAATGCTATCCAGATATTAGTTACATAAAATGATGTTCTGGGATCATGTCCACCTTCTTCACGTCCAGAGGACCTATAAGAGAATTCTCAGCACTTTTCTACTCTCATTGCCATCACAGTCACATTCAATGTCATGTCAATGCAACAATCACCCTTTGTCCACTTGCTAAAACCTGCACCATTTCAAATCACTCAGAAACTATTAGCAGGTCTTTTGGAATTCAGATTGAACCTACAACATAGCTTCTTTTTTTTTTCTTACAAAATGGCATTAGAATCTTCCAACACTCTAAAGCCTTACGATATTTCCACGATTTAAATAAATGGAAAAAGTTTGAATAATTATTTAGGGAGACGTAATAGACTTTTCTTCATAGATCACTGATATAGTATCTGGTCATGAGTGTTCATTTTTCTCACTCAGGAAGTCTCTGGCAGTGTCCATGAACTGAGGCTTTCAAACAGATGATGATAGGCTACCAGATGTGTGATTCACAGTGTGTCATCTTGATAACGCCAACACCACCTCCCAATCGCCGGTAGTTCATGCCGCCATATAACCTAGGTAAAGGAAGAAACAATATGAGTAGTTTTTAGTAATAAGATATCCCATATTTTAGTTAAGTGAATGTAGGTGTCAGACAACTACAAAAATGATTGTGATGGTGGACATATTGTAGTACATTCTCTTGTGCCAACAATAATGGGACTTTTGTACTCACCATAAAATACATTTCTTGAAGTTCATTAAAAGGACACATGATCAGTATTCAGAGACACATAGGTTATATTTAGCTACCTATAGGAGGTGAACACTGGCAAACAAAAAACTATTGGCCACCCAGGTATAACCCCTTCCACTCCCAGAATGCTTCAGTTTTGTAGAAAAGCAGTATTTAGGTGCAGACCACAATACAGAGGGGTGGGACCTGTGTACCTTAATGAACGCCAAGAAACAGGTTTTACAGCAAGTTTAAAAAAAATCTAATTTTCTGTATCATTCTTTAAGGAGCACAGGATCAATAGTCAGAGATGTAAGGGACATCCAAAAGTAGTCCAACTGACGGATGGGCAACAGGAACCAAACAACAGGTCCACATAGCGAAAGACAGTAGAACAGGGGACAGCCCAGCTCCAAGAGCTGCCTGAAGAACCTCATGTCCGAAGCTGGCATCAGATGAGGCGTGAACATCCACCTGATAAAAGGTTTGAGAATGTGTAAGCGGAGAATTGGTGGCTTGCAAATCTGTTAAAAATTTGTTGAAGAAGTACTCACTGACCTAGCAGAGTGCAACTTGATGGGAAAAGGTGGAACCTTATCTTTATAAGCTAATTCCACCTTTATCACCAAGTTACACCCATATCTGAGGTGTAATATGGGAGATTGTGCCATTCCGTAGCCCCAAACGTCCCTTACCCAAACCTCTTTACTTACCCGAAGGACTCTAAAACTCCAGGACCCTGTGCATTTTTTTATGTGGTGTGGCTCCACCCACAAAGGCAAATCATTCATTCACAGATCCATCCACTGTTGCAGAGGGAATCGTAGCTCTCAAAGGAGTGCAAGTACAGTGACATCACCACACTTGTAGTCTATTGCCAACTTCCTTTCAGCTCCAAAATTGAAGGTCTGTACCTTGGTATAGACCTGGGGCTGGAGTAACAGTCTGCAGAATCCTGTGCATTGCACCCATGATTCAGTTACAAACAAATTCATAAATGCACATTTTATTTTTACAATATGGTACATTTATGAATTTTTGGTAAAAGTGGAATGTGTCTTTAAGGCCAATAATTTGCCAAAGCCACTGAGACAATGATGGATCAAAAAGCTGGTTCCCTTTTACCGGGACCATCAGGGATGGCAAAGAGAATCAGTTTTCCTTATGGAAGCTGTTGCTGGCATGTAAACCCACACACAGCATGAAAATACACCCAGGCCATGATGAAGTTTCCTTTTGATATACTGAAGTCAGACAGAGAGATGAAGGAAAAATGTCCTGCATGAGGTAAAAAAGCTGAAACCACCTTGGGAAGAAAGCTCTAGGTCTCACCACCTTATCCTTGTGAAGGACCAGAAAAGGTTCTTTACGGGACAGGCCGCTAGTTCAGACACATACCCCACAGAGGAAATGGCAACAAGGAAAACCTTGTGAGAGTTTATAGCGTAATATCCCTGAATGGTTCAAAAGACGTTTTTTGAAGCACCGACAGGACTAAATTCAAATTTCAGACGCCACAAGGATTTGTCAGACTCCTTGTCAGACAGGACATCCATGACAGAAGGCTCAGAGGGTGAAACAGATGCAGCAATGTCAGGTAAAGAATGTGAGAGGGAAGACAAAGAGGTGCATTTACACCCACTACGTTAAGAGCCAGCAAACATGGTAATTTAGGTCATAAAATCCTGCAAGGTTTCAAAAAACTCCTCCATAGATAAGACAGAGGAAGGTGCTACATCTGACAGAGCAAACGTGGAGTCTGAGGGGGACTCCAGAAGGGGAGAACAATCCAATCTATCAGAGAGGACCCCAACAAGGCATAGTGCAGGTAATCCCAAACAGTTGGCGGAATGTGAGCTGGAAAAGCATACAGCAGTAGGATTGGTCACCTTGCACTTGTAATCCACCATCATGCACAGTTAATAGTAGTAACAGACAAGAGTACTGCAAGTTAAACAACCTTGTTAAAGGGCGCAGAGACTGGACACTGGACAGGTGTCACTGTTCTGTGCCAGGAATGTGCTCATTTGTAGTCTGGGAGCCACTAAAAAGCATGCCAGAGAGTGAAGACTGCCTGTACCTGTTCCAAGGAAACTGCAGGGTGAAAGTGAAAAGGTGTCGGAGACGCTGCTTTGCACTTGTATTGTACAATGTAGCTGCATGTAAAGTTTTCTACAGCTACATAATATAAGGCAGAAGGTACAAAAAAACACCACAAGCAGAGCTCAGTACTTTAAAGTTACATTACAGTCAGGCTTTGCATCTTTGGTCCAGAAGGGTCCGGGTTTGGCCTCCAAGGCTACATCAAAGACTAATATGGATAGTGCAAAAAGAGACTAAGTTCAGCAGCAAATAGAATCTTGATTGAAGCAAAGAAATAATCTCAGAAAAATAAAAAGGGTTGAAAAAGACACCCATACTTCTAAGGACACTAGCAAAAAACGGAAGCATGAGTGGGAGGGGGGGAGGGTGGGGAGGTTATAGAGGGCTGCCCTTGTTTGCCAGTGTTCACCTCCTGTAAGCAGCTGCATATAACCCACAAATCTCTGAATACTGATCATGTGTCCCTTAATGAGTGATAAAGAAATACAGATTTCAACTATGATATCACTGGACAAAAAGTATCCGTTCCATACTTAGCCCTGGCTATGCTAACCCTGCCGCACTGCAGCCATGTTGGGCACTGGGGAAAAGGGCTTTTCCTAGTGGGAGGCTACAAGTAGGTAGATCATGCTGTTGCCCGGACAAAAAGTGAGAACGTTATCACATGCTACCCACTGACCACTCTCACCCAACAATAAGCGAGATGGTGCCAATTACACAGATGTGTTATTAGTAACAGGAAACAATAAATTACACTCTGTTCTCTTTATTTGCACCTTTGAATTGATTGGAAGAATTTTAATGCAAGCAGAAAGGTACACCCTTGCTAGTTTCCTTATCGCTAATTTGCCCATAATTTTCTTGGACTACTTGCATCCCCCAACCCCTCTGTTACCATATAAATCGATTATATAAATTGCTCTGCTCTACCTAGAAGAGAAATGTAAAATGACCCGTTGTTTCCATTGTTTTTCATATAGGTTTATCTTTTCACAGATCAATGTGTTGGGTAATGTAACAAATCTTTGTTATGTTATATTTAATGAGTTACTATACAATACACAATTCTTATTGTGGGCTCACAATTTTGCATGAGGAAAGTAGATGAATGTACAGTACTAGCATGAACAGTGCACCCTCTACTGAAGCTCCGTAGAAAGTGATTTTCAGACCTGTGATATTTAAGTTAACATGTAGTAAATCACGCCCATCATTTAGTCTCAAACTAATCAACTCAAGATAACTGAGGCTAGGTTCACACCTAGGCGATTTATCACGTGGATTTAGCCGCGTGATGTTGCACATATTATGATATTATGATGCATTCAACTTGCTAATACATTTTACTAAACTCCCTGTGCCACAGTAGCTCACAAAATTCCCAAACAGCAGGGATCCACCTCCATGCTGCACGGTAGAGATAGTGTGCTTCTTTTCATAGGCCTTGCTTAGCATATTGTAAGTGGGCTGTTTTGTGGTGATGGCGAATGATGGAGAGAGAGTGAGCATGCGCACTACTGCATACACTCAGCATTTCACAACTGTGTTTTGTTTGAAGGGATCATTTCTCTTTTAAATTAATCCTCTCATATGAGCTCCCACTCCTCAGCAGATACCCAAGTACAACTTTAGATATTAGCTCATTCCACTTTAAAGGCTAAAGTTCGCATTTCACAAAAATTAAAGAAATGCATAATTAATAATATATTTTAAAAAAATGCATTTCTTTAATATTTGCATTCAAGCCTGGAAAGCATTGCAACTGTGATCACTCGATCAGGGCTGCAGAGCTCTGGCTTCTGCACATTCTCTCCCAGGCAGAGCTCTTACAGAGGTACGGAGTTTGTTAGGAGAGACAGGGAAGGACGGCTGGACTGTGATTTAATTCAGTTTGAAGTCCAACCGTCCCTTCCTCTATCTCTCCTAACAAACTCCGTACCTCTGTAAGAGCTCTGCCTGGGAGAGAATGTGCAGAAGCCAGAGCTCTGCAGCCCTGATCGAGTGATCACAGTTGCAATGCTTTCCAGGCTTGAATGCAAATATTAAAGAAATGCATTTTTTTAAAATATATTATTAATTATGCATTTCTTTAATTTTTGCAAAAGGTGAACTTAGCCTTAAGCTGCTATTTCTAACTCATGCTCAAGCAGCACTTACAGAAATAGTGACCTGTACACTACTGTGCATACAGAGGCACCCAGTTAAGGGAGAGAGATGTGTAGTCCCATTGATCTCTATGGTTGAGCGCCTGTGCAGCAGTGAACAGGTCAATTCAATATATGTTTTGAAACGCTTTTGCTTTTCCAAATGCATAATCATGGAATCTCCAACTCTGCAAAGCCAGTTAGACAGGAAGGTCAATATTGGTTGACCAAGTAAAATTCCAAGTAGCATAATGCTTTGTAGTACGATCACTTGTATAGCTTGCTATTTAAAATTTCTCAGCATTCCTACAACGTTAGCAAGATGCAGTACAGAGACAACCTGTGTAAAGTAGAGATGAAAATTTTTACCTCCAAGTATTAGCATCTGGGTCAAACACTTCTATAGTTTTCAAGTACGTTGTTCCATCAAATCCACCTACAGCCATCAACTGCCCATTGACCACAGCAAGACCGACCTACGGCAAGGATTAAAGTGAAACAAGCATGAGCAGTATTACACAACATATAAAACAATTCTTTAATGAAGAACTCCATGCAATTGAAGAATTAACCCTTGGAGTGGGCCTACCCCCAGACTGCAAGATTTAAAAGGAGACTTATGGGAAAGTGAAAAACACTCATCCCCATAATTCAAGCCTACCTGCGACACTGAGGCTGTCCTAGGTCGGCTCTATTGATCGGGAAGTCCGCGAACACACGCCTATTGCCAACTTACCGATCCTCTCCCCACAGAGAACGGTGACTGTCAGTCACCGCTCCCCACAGGGATTCCCTCCTCCCCTCTCTGTTTCTCCAGCTCTGACTGGAGGAACAGATGGGGGAGGGGTGGGTAGAGCCAGCTGTCAATCAGCAAGTGGGGTGGATCTCGGCAGTATTTTGGGGATCCGTCCCACCTGCAGCACGGCTCTGCGGTCTCCGCATATAGCGGGCAATAGCTTGCTATATACTGAGCTTTGGGTCCTCGGAGGACATTAGTATATGTCCTCCTGTGACCCTGAAAAGAACTATGGGCAAAAAAGATTGGCCCATAGCTCTCTCATAAGTGCTCGTTTTGGTCATGGGGCCAACTATAAAGAAGATATATTCACCTGATCATCAATCCTGCGGCGGTGACTGCTCAACTCTCTCCCCCTCCACTCTGGTGGTTGAAAGTCCCTCGGCACCCTCATGTCTGATGCATTAGATGCGATAGCATATACCCATATTTTGTAACGTCTGGAATCTATAAAACTGAGGGCCATAACATGGACCAACTTCTTACAGAAGGAGTACGCTGCCTCAAAACATATACAAATTTACCTTCTTTAAGAAAATGATTCTTGCTTGAATTAGAAGATTGACCCCCCATAAAGTCAGTGTACTCCATCCTAGAGAAAACACTTTTATAGTAATCATCTAGTAAACTATATGGTTGGAAAGGTGTCTAAATTTGCATCCTGATCCTTTCCTCTGTCTATAACATCATAGAGATAGATCTGTGTGACTGGGGAGCTATTCATGCATGTCCAACTGCACTAAAAGAAACAGCCATCTTTGAAATGTACGACGTGCAAACAAATTACAATGCAGATACACCAGACCAAATCATTACAATAAAATAATACGGCTAGATTTGGTTCCAACTTTCCATCTTTCTGTACTAATACACGGTGTAAAGCATTGTCTTACCCCACTTCGTCTTGAAGTCATGGCAACCACTGGTGACCACTGATTGGTCCTGGGATTGTACCGTTCAGCACTGCTTAGCTCTGTGGTGTCATCTCTCCCACCCACTGCATAGATCATATCCTGGTACACGGCACAGCCAAGGTGCTTCCGTCGTGTGCCCATTGGTGCTATTGTGTGCCAGCGGTTTTCCTGAGGATTGTAGCGCTCCACTGAAACATACAAAGCAATGGCATAATAGAGCAGTCCCATCCTTTCTACCTTATCCGTAGAGCATAATCCAATATCAATACTCAGACAGCATGAGAATAAGTGACAGTGAGTATCGGGACAGGGAGGTTAAAATACATTTCCTGGCTAGATAAGCTAAGTGACAGTGGCAGAGCTAGCGACATAGCTTTGTTTGTTGACTCTCCTATTACAGATCACAATCCTATTAAAACACAGACTCCCTCTGAGCCCCGCCTTGTAAAAGAGCTCAAGCTTGAGAACACAGCATTATTCATAACCCAGCTGGAGTCTTAGACAGAGCAGTCCCCAAGGTCTGATATTAATACAGGAAACAACGCAAACTTTGCATGCACAGAAATAATGGTAATACAATAGGTATGTGGTAATTATGTCACAACAGATAAAAAAGAAAGACTGATTCAAATCTTTGCTTACCTGTATTGAGAGGAGACGTACCATCTGATCCCCCAACTGCATAAAGAAAACCACCTAGAACTGCAACAGCCACTCCTAGTCTCCTCGTACTCATGGAGGCCACACGTGTCCATTTGTTTTCCTTTGGGTCGTACCTAGCATAAAAGAACAATATTGAAAGCTATCCATTCTTGTGTTAAACATATACGCATGAGGAAATATAGAGCAGCCTACCTTCTATAACAAAGAGTCTCGTTCTTCTCCTCTGCTGTACCTCATCTAAGCTGAGCTAACTGAAGTTCCAGCACCAGCCAAAAACAAAGAAGCGCTTTACCCTCTATTCACCAGTCCATTGCCAGAGCTACTAACCACTGAAGTTCTGGTTTTGAATGATAATAGCTGAGGCCCTGTCAATTACGCTGATACCCAGGCCCGGCAGTAACTTACTTGAAAATGAAAGAAACATTAGTACTAAAAGAAATATAGTGGCTGCCATTGCTGAACATTCTATTGCCTGATTGTCTCTAGCTGTAACGCCTTCTCTTGCTGATCTGAACCAGAAAAGTCAGAGTGCATTCAAAACTTCCAATCTACATGCTAGTTCCAGAACAGTGACCTAGAAAGCACTGGAGCCTTTGGATCAGCATAACAGCCAGGTAAATAGCATTTTCACAAGCAGAGGTCAGCAACTGCAGCATCCATACTTCCTTACTACTACTACAGTCTTTTAGAATTGCATACATCATAAGGTTCCTGCACTTTGTAGTAGTATTGTTTTTATTGCTCACCTTAAGAGATTTTGACCTGCGAATCCCATCACTATAAGATAAAATATCCACTAAAAATATGGAGGTAAAAATCTAAGCAGCCAAATCTCTTTCTTTGTGGGGTGGGGTTATTATAAGTGCCTAATAATAATAATAAGCACATTAGATATTCCTGAATTATATAATTATTGCACATAATACAAAAATTCTATAAACTGCAGGGTCCAAATACCTTTCCACGATATTGAGGCAAGAGACACCATCTTGGCCACCCACAGCATAAAGATATCCCCCTAGAACTGCAACACCAACACTCGTCCTGCAAGTGCTGGTCGGAGCCACATCACTGCTCCACTGGTTTGTCTTTGGGTCATATCTGTAAAAAGAATAAAAGATTGTTATTGTAAGTCTTTCATTAGGGAAGAAGTATAGAAGCAATTGCATCAGCAAACCCCCTGACTTGATCCAATCCACCAACGAAAAAATAGAAATGGTAACAAAACACAAAACAAAAAAAGCCCTACTACTCTCTATTGAAGTATACTGTATATTTAATCAGAATGGGAAATATATGAAAGCACCGCAAGCACTAAGAACTGTGGTTTCAGCCGTGATTCATATTAGCCTGTGCTTTGTCATTCCAATTACAGATGGGAGGAAACCTGTACTGAGAGAATATTTAGGCTGCCACTGATGACCTTCAGTTACCTGGCTGTATCCGACTCTTAATACTTGTTCTAGGTCAGCAACGCAATGTTCCAAGAGCCTTCTTGCCAGCCAAGCAATTAGCATTTCGAAAAAGGAGTTCTCAATAACAGCAGCCTACATATTTCTCTTAATACAAGTTGCCTTTCAGCCGATTAAATATTTAATAGAAACTGGGGTTGTCCTGATGAAGGTGGAAAATATTCCAATGGAAACACATACCATTTTGTAAGGACAGGTGTGACAATATATGAGTGGAGAACATTCTTTTTAATAACAAAGTAAAGAAAGTACGTTTATTTTAGATTTAAAAATATCTAAGCTGGATGCATCAGTCATGCCTGAAATGATACGCTATGGCCAAAAGATTGTGGACACCTTGGCACATTATACGTATTATATGGCCAAATGTATGTGGACGCCCCTCCAAATGATTGATTTCATGTGTTTCCAGTGACGAGTTCTGTTAATGCTATTAATGCTCACACTTAAAAGGCGGGAACACAACATGTGTGCAACCTCCAATTAGTGGCCCAGAACTTAACTACTCAGCATGTTAACCCTTTCTGTGGAAACCAACAGAAAAAGAAATAACGGCACTCAACAGGGCCAATAAATGTAGTAGCTCCTGATGATCGTCCCACACGGCGTGCTGATTAAAACGTTTTCAGAGACTGGGTCACACCAAAGGCTAGACCATGGCTCTGGGGCCAGAAAGTTTTCTGCAGAGAGTAAACAGAGGTTTGGAAAGTGCCGCAAGCAGAGCCCAGTGTCCGTAGGTCACATTCCAGGCATGCCCCACAATCTTGGGGGCTGCAGGGTCTGAATACAGACTTCAAAAGCAATTGCTGAAGATATACTGATCTGGATAGCTGCATAAAAAGCTGAGCTCAGCATTCTGCAGATGAAGTTTTTGTTAATTTTTTCTCAATTCAGAAAATAAGTCCATCAAGCTAGGACACCAGCAAAAATACTGAAGCATAATGGGAGCAGGAGGGGTTATACCTAGACGTCCAACAGCTCTTGTCCAATTCCTCCTGAAGGCAGCAGTACAACCCAGTTGTCTCTGAATTACAGAATCCTGTGTCCCTTAATGAACAAGAAACCTTTTTTTTTTGTTTTAAGAAAGTGACAACTAAGAGGGCAGTTCCCTCACTGGGGTAATATCCTCTCACTTCCTGTTGGCTGTACAGAAAAGGTAAATACAATCTCCCCAGTGAGACACAGCTGCAAAAAAGTGACAAAAGATAAAGCAGAAAGCCCTTTCCCTTACCTTTCAACACTGTTGAGGTATGAAGATCCGTCATGACCACCTACAGCATAAAGAAGGTCATCGAGAACACTGACACCGACCCCACATCGTCGTTTACTCATTGAAGCCACCATTCTCCACTCATTGGTCTGAGGATCATAGCGCTCAACGCTAGAAATAGCATCTCCACTGCACCAGCCTCCCACTGGAAGTAAAACAGTTTTTTATGCCTTTATGTAGTTAGATGCTGAAAACCACTGCTGTACATATTAGATGGCAGAACATTGTATATATTTATAAAGCATCACTGGCCTGGTACGTTTATGCTTGTTGTATGGGGTTAAACTGAAAGTCAAAATGTATTTAGGATATTTGAAACACTGATGAAATCCCTTAAAATAGATGCTGCTCCTTGATGTTAAAAAGCTTTAGCTTGCTGCAGAATCAGCTGGTCCCCTGAGCATTGGCCCTGATATCCTGTTTTAGGGTGGCTGCTTGCCCTTGCAGGGTCCTATGGAGCCATCCTTGTGTGTGCTAGTAAGCTGTGTGTGTCTCCACAAACACACAGACACAGCAAGACAGGCAATTGCCCTGTTCCCTGATCCTTCTACTTCCCTTATCTGAGCTACTAGATAGATAGCTGCTAGAGACAGTGCTGGCCCTTGTGATCTTGTACTGGACAGGAAGTTCAGCAAAGCCAAGCTGAGAGAATTGAAGTTGGCTGTTCTGAAACATGATGAACAATGTTTGGGCAAAAATATAAACAAACACTTTGCTGGGCAATGTACTGTATACTGTTTGATCCGGATGCATTATTGAAAAAAAAACGTTTGAGAGTGTAATACTACTTTAAGTATGCATCGCATCCCACTGTAGCACTGTGTCCGTCATGTAGCGCTGGAGACAAAAAATAACATATGAATCAGCAGTGAAGCTGGTGTGTCTCATGTCTTCGGCATCTTGTAATTTGTTGGTTTATGTGAATAACGCAATTGATGATTGAAAGCAATCCGGATATATGAACTGCACAGATGAATTTGCATTTACATATACAGGCAAGCTGAACTGCCAAAATAGATTCACAAAACATGCCACAATTTTAGGTCAATTGACTAATTTTAGTAACTATATACAGTGTCTGTAAAATGACAGAGAAGACTGAAATCAGAGGCAATACACCTATAGTGAACTTGTATTGGCAGAAAAACTAAGCATTTGGTAACAAACACCAATAAAGAGCGATCGTACAAATTTCTCTACATCTCCCACAAGTGTACAGTTACAGCAGTTTATTGGCATGCAATACAGAATTTGCTATTATTAGCCATTAATCCATTCATTTCATTAGGATGGATGGGAGAGTGAAAAACTGCCTTGATTTGGCACCTCACAGTGCATCTGTGCCCAGGCTATAAGCATTACATTGGTTTGTTTTTTTTGTACTGTGAAGTAATCCTCAAATCAGGAAGGGTAGGAGGGAGGAAGCGTGGTGAGGACAGGGGGGGATAGGCATGTACAATGCTGTGTGTGCATGGCCACCATACCAGCACATCTAAATGATGCCACTTGCAGCTATATTTGACAGAACCCACAAGACATCTTGGAGAAGACCAAGTAGGTGAAGTTATTACTACACAGTTAAACACTTCCTTTCCATGTATTTGTTCTGAATAAAACTAAACGAACATTATTCGTCTCTAACCAACTAATCTGACACTTATGTTATTAATATTAACCTGAAATCTGCAATTCAACATGAAACTAAAACGGGAAACAAACATCATTTTACTTCCTGTATTCTTCTTATAGGAAGTATGCCATGTACAGGATCACAGTTAGATATGAGTGATTCCATTTACCGTATTTGCCGGCGTATAAGACGGGGTTTGAGACCCAAAAAAATCGCCCGAAAATCGGGGGTCTTATATGCCGGGTATACTTCGGTATACTGTATGTAGCTTCGGCTACATACAGTATACCGCGCTGAGCCAATAACGGCAGGCTTTGTATTCTTTAATACAAAGCCTGCCATGATTAGCTCAGCGCTGAGCCAATCACGGCAGGCTTTGCATTAAGTAAATACAGGCTTTGTATTAATGAATACAAAGCCTGCCGTGATTGGCTCAGCGCGGTAGTAGCTGAAGGACGGAAGATGGAGGACGCTGCGGGGATCCTGGACAAGGTAAGAGATTGTAATCCCGAGTGTGGCTCGGGGTTAACACTTATGGTACTGAAAATTAACCCCGAGCCACACTCGGGAATACCGCCAAGGAGGTTAGTAAGTGCATTTAAACATAGTTTTGGGCTATACTCGTCTTATACGACGAGTATAGCCCAAAACCTATATTTTTACACAAAAAGTGGGGGGTCGTCTTATACGCCCAGCCGTCTTATACGCCGGCAAATACGGTACATGTATAAAAAAAGAACATTCAGTCATTATTAGGCAAGTTATTGGGTAGATATATGTAGGAAGCTAGGATCTGTGTGACAGGCATTTCCATTTATATATTATATTTAGCCATAGTATAAAAAGAAATATAAAATCAATCTAATCAACCTAATATAACAACTTGAAGTCAAGTTTAACAGTATAGATGTACCTGCAAACAGCACCTCCCCACAACGGATGGGTTTTCGAGGCCTTGTTCTGGGCCCTTGCATTAGAGGACGTTCCTGAGGCAGCAGAAGGTAGTTCTTGGCTTCATCTACCAAGTCCCTGTTTAAAAATGCAAGTACAAATGAGTTTATTTACATAGCTGTATAGATTATACAGAATCTTTCTGCAAATAGAACACGGGGATAGACCTACGGGTGGCCAACCTAAACAGTTGCTACCTTTCCTTATCATGAGACGGTTATTACATTTCAACAAAATAGGAGGAGCCCGCACTATCAACCCATTGTCCCTACAGTTCTGTGTCAGAGGAAGGAACTTCCAAAGTTGATCATCAAACCTGTGGCAGATAGACTAGACATGGCTCCATTTTACCATCGCTGAATGTAGGAGAGGTCAAGAAGGGTCTGGAAAAGAAGTCTACCAATTCTATTTAATAGAAGCAAAAAGAAAAATGACTTTGTGACAAACCTGCATTCTTCATCACTTTTAATGAGTGGATCAGATCCCACTGTTCCTACCAGAAATTTGGGACTAAGTAGCGGCAATCTGACATGTTGCAGAACCTGAAGACAAAGTGAGACAAAAGGTTTTTCGTTCAGACATATAAATAGATCAATTTTTGATTCAGTATTCTAATATTAGATAAAATGTATCACATTGTTATGTTTGAATGGAGGAATGAAAGCTACAGTAAACCACCATCTATAAGGTGTCAAAGAAATGAAGAGCAATGAAGAATTTGGAATTCAGTTGGCAAAACTCATTTTTAGGTTCTGTTTACACCATGTAGTGTTGTGGTAATGTTACAGCTCCTAGTCTATTTTAAGAACCCCAGGCAAAAATGTTCTTAACCCTTGCAGTGGGACAACCCTTGCACTGCAAGGGTTAAGGTTTTGTTTCTGTCTAGGTGCTAAAATAAAGTTAGCGCATACTCTCCCAAACCACAAAGCTGGCTGGTTGTTACAGCGCTCCCTCCGGCCTGCCTCCTTTTCTGCTGGAGCGATGGTTTGTCCTTCGGCGTCCTCACATCCTGTACACAGGGTATTGGACGTGATGGCCCAGGGACCTTAGGTTCAGGTGAGTATAACTTTTTTTTATTATAGCACCTAGACAAAAACTAACAGTTACGCATTTTGCAGAGTGGGGGAAGTCCCATGGCAAGGGTTAAGAACAATTATGCACAGGAGTTCTTCTTTAACCCAAAGCAGGGCACACATCATCCGCTGTGATGCATTGTGGTGTACTGTAGCACAGATGTAGTCTGTGGATGCTTTGGGGTGCTATTAATTTTGAATGGCATGTTTGGTGTGCTACTGTGTTTTGCAGTTATGCGCAATTACCACAATGGTGTTAAGGATTTAGCAGAGAGCATCTAAAAAATCTACATGTACCTTTAGCAAAACAATAGAAAAAATACATATAGAAATTACAAAGCTCCCAAATGTCACCTATTTGGTTCATAATCTGGTACACTTTCAGGTCTAATATACACAGAAGCTTCCTATCAGTCATTATGCATTTAACTACTAAAAGTGTTCATTATTTCAGGAAAGAAAAGTTAACACATGATCGCTCCAGTATTTAATGTGTGTTCTTTGTAATATCCTATGCTTCCTGTGTTTGACAGTTGTGTCGGAATATACATCGCCTGGCCAAAAAAAAGTCACCAGCTGGATTTAGGTAATCAAATAGGTAAGAGCCTTCAACTGGATAAGTGTTATGATCTAGGGTTGCTTCAGTTGGTCAGGTCTAGGATCAGCAACGTTATATCCCCATAAAATGAGGTCAGCTGCCTAACTGAATAACCAGGTTTTTCCATCAATGAATTTTTTTCTCCCTGATGGCACATTGGGCATATTCCAAAATGACAATGCCAGGATTAATCGGGCTCAAATTGTGAAAGAGTGGCTCAGTAAGCATGTGACATCATTTTCACACATGGATTGGCCACCACAGAGTCCAGACATTAACCCTAATGAGAATATTTGGGATGTATTTGATAATATATTGGGGAATTTTCGCAGGGGTCCTACTCTCCCATCATCACTACAAGTAAAAATTAATGCGACTCTGGACAAAAATAAAATGTTGTGACATTGCATAAGCTTATCAAAATGATGCCATGGCGAATGTGCGTCATAATTGAAGCTAAAGGCGGTTCATCGAAATATTACATTGTGTGACTTTTTTTTGCCCAGGCAGTTTATATAAAGCATGTCATGTACACAAGTGGTTTCAAAAATTGATTTCTCTATGTTTTTTCCACTCGTCTAAGCTGTACCTCGTACTACAGATGTTTAAGTATTCTTGTGCCCTGTCTTTTCTCACATACTTAAAACCGTGAAAAATAGGATTTTGGTACTCACCGTAAAATCCTTTTCTCTCCGTTCATTGAAGGACACAGGGAACAGATCGGAGATCATGTACTGTAGGGTAATATCGCCACCTGCAGGAGAAGGACGCTAGGCACAAAAAACTAAAGACCAATTACAGCCTAGGGGCGGCCCCTGCCGGTGGCCAAACCCCCCACCTGCTGACAAGTCTCCAGTTTAGTAACAAGCAGTAAAAGGAGTACACACCCACATAGAGGGGCGGGCCCTGTGTCCTTCAAGTTTTCAACGTGCAGCAATGTCAAAGCACTTATAGCCCATTGACACTTCCTCCAATCCAGTGACTGAAAGTCAATACCTCAGACTTGGAGGAAGAATCTGCAGTAGCCTGAGCATTGCACTCCACAATCCACTGAACACAGTTGCAATGCTTTGCAGGCTCCAATGCGAAAAAAAATATTAGTGGTTGTGCATTTATTATTCTTTTTTTTTTCCCCAAAAGGTGGACTATGCCTTTAAACTACACTCCCGGAACTCTGGTCCATTGGTCAAATAACATGTGGTCAGCCCTTTTCCCAGAAGATGAAACCGAAAAGCAATGTCTATGGAGTCTCAGAATATTTGAACGCTTGACAGCTAAATGCCAAGGTGTGAGCATGTGCTACTGGTTACATCATTCTAGGATAAGGTTCACATAATGTTATCACTAATCAATCCCCCAAATCATCCCATACAAAGATACCTGTGGCAACTGCGGCCTCCGTTCTTGGATGCTGTATTTCACCCACGCCATGACTGCATTAAACACCTGTTCTTCACTGCGCACGTTTAGCTCATCACTGGAAATGATATCAATAAGCTGATTGGATGGGAGAAGCATGAACTCCTCGCTTTCCATCACCTGGAGGAAAGAAAAGTTACAAGGCATAAGCACACAATGACTGCTTAGAAGCAAAGAAAGTTAAACCCAAAATAAAAAGAAGCAATTTCTGGATCAGACTTAAGAGAACTATGGGGTAAGTGTTTTCCCCATAGTTCTCTTAAGGGTCACGGGAGGACATATACTAGCGTCCTCCCATGACCCAAAGCTCATTATATCGCTCGCTACAGCTTGCGGTATACTGAAACCGACGCAGCCGGGACGGATCCGACAATTCTGCGGCCCTAGAGGTAGAGCCAGCTGTACCTGCCCCGTCCGTTCCTCCAGTCAGAGCTGGAGGATAGGCACGGGGAGGGGGGAATCCCTGCAGGGGGTGATGACTGACAGTCACCGCTCTCTGCAGGGAGATGATCGATAAGCGAGCGAGTGACGGTATGCGTTCGCTCGCTTTCCAATCTAATGAGCCGACGTGTGACAGTTTCATTGTCACACGTCGGCTCGAACTATGAGGAGGAGTGATTTTCACTCACCTCATAGTTCTCCTTTAAACCCCTTAATGACCAATGATGGAATTACTCCGCCATGGTTGCCCGTGCCATAAGGACCCATGACTGAATAATTCCGTCATGGGTACTTAAGGGTTTAAGTTTCCGTCATGCACTAAATGAGAATGTATATGTGCATATGTCACACCAAATAAAGCCCTTTTTGGTCTTTAATAAACGTTATATAATATGTGTTGGCGCAATAAATGAGAAAGGTGGAAATTGCGGTTGAATACACACAGCAAAAATTGCTTTGGTCTTTAACTGAAATACAAGCATCTGAAGCATGGTTGTTAAGGGGTTAAGAGCTCATTCACACTACAGCGGTCAAGGGCATTTTTCAGCAACGTAAGAATACCGGTCACTATTAGGGAACATAGATAACAATTGTTTTCTATTTGTCCTGTTCACACAACGCAGGTATGATGTGCGGTGGTAAAACAATGCTAACATGATGAAATGTTTTGCGCGGCACACCAGACCACACATTGTTGCCTGGAGCTGCTATATTGCAGAATAATCTGGAACTGCAGACTGCATATTAGCAAAAGGCAATTTACTAAACGCACTTTTGCTTATTTAAAAGGTTTGATTACAAAGAGAACGTAAACTGCCAACCAGGTACAACACACGGAAAAAGTAGATAGAACGTTAAGTAGTTCTAAGTTCAGGCATCTGAGTGAGCAGGGCTCCATCTGATACAGGGAGGGGTTATGGAAATGATTAGCGTGAATCAGTGTAGAAGATTTATAGAGTCAGTCCACCCAAAATGGATATTTCAGGTTTGGGCAGATGCCAATGTACTGAATCTTCCATTGGCTTTTGGTGGTAAGATCTCTGTACCCAAGATCCTAGGTCTGACTGACTTCTGAATCTCTGCTGAATTATTGATTACACTAATCTGATTGGGGAATTAGCTAGATGGTGATGGGGCAGTTAAAGTAAAGATAAAACCAACTCCCACCAGTTGGGAGGTGTGCACTTTGCCCATTCAGGATGAAGTGACAGGTTCTCTCGAAGGTTAGCGAATGCACCCACCATTATTCACCTTTGTAGGGCTTACCCCTTAACTCTGTTTGTCTGTTGGGGCCCCCAAGAAAAAAATAAATTGCACATCGAAGTAGTCATGTATTCACAGAAAATCATTAGATGTTTATTTAAAAAGAGAAAATATTTATTATACCTCCTCATGTATCACTTGCCCCTCCCTTTTACATTGTAAGCCCTAAGGGGCAGGGCCCTCCTTACCATCTTGTCTTGAATTGTATTGTGACTGTAATGTCTTCCTTATATTGTAAAGCGCTGCGCAAACTGTTGGCGCTATATAAATCCTGTATAATAATAATTTATGCCTCAATGTATTGTAATACCCCACACAACAGAGTCCAGACAGGAAGGGGCAGCAGTAGCATTACATTAAGAATGCCTGCTGAAGTGCCCAGTGCTGTCAGTCTAATGATCAGTCTAATGGTGGCTGTTGCCCATTTACTGTCCATACGGCAGCCTTAGGGAAGTATTCTAGACCAAGATGTACCGCTTAACAATGAAAGCCAGGAGGCCATGACATGGATATGCTGTCCTGCAGGGAAAACCCAGATCACCAGGATGGCTAACCGTAAATCTTTTGACAGGTATAATAGTACACAAGTAGATATTTAAATATCATCATCTGCAACATAAAGCAGTTTATATACATAGATAATGCTACACCGAGATTTACTGACAGTCATAAAAATGAACATGCTTTTTATAGTGAGCTAGATGCCTAGATGACATTCCTGTAATGGTGCACTAAGCCAAACCATAGGTACTTTAAAGGCCTTCGAGACATTTAATATTTGTCCAGGTGGTATATGTATACAGTCCTATGTAAACAAGTTTAGGAATCTATGTTAGCTGTTAGGGGAATGACAAATCTGCGCGGGTGTCAGCTGTCTTTGCAACTCAATCCTTTGCTCTCTAATGCCTGTCATCTCGTCCGGAATATACAGTGTGCAGGCATACTTGTGAATCTGCAGGAAAACTGGCACAGAGAAAGCACAAAACAATGAGGACAATCCTACAAAACCGGTATTCAGTGCGAATGCACACTTCTGTATCGTGGTATCATTATGTTCTGATAAATGTATGGATGTCATTTGAGATACACAGGACATTAGGGATTTACGAAGGAGTGTGCATTGGTATTGTAAAATGTGTACAGTTTATAGGGGGTCAGAACCACATCTGACTTGCTACACTGCTGTTAAGCTTTGCCAAAAAAAAAAAACATTTTTAGTACGGGATGTGGCTGCCTGTTAGTCTTACGCCCAATCCCCAGCATGGAGGGCAAGGGTTCCCCTATCGACCCCATGTCATAATGATAACAAATGGGGAAAGGAGAAGCGCCTCAAATAACAATAAAATGGACAAAAAACTCCTGGGTCCCAGCGTCAATCTATAATAAGCAAAGTTCCCCGAAAATACGGAATCCCAAAATAGGAGCTGTCTATAATAATCAAACAGGTAATGATAATGTAACAAATTTTAATGAAAATTAATAATAAAAGTAGAAAAACATAAATACACCTACTGACAAAGAACATCTAAAATCAATTAAAATGACAAAGTCCTCCCTGATATAGCCCTGTGTTGATTGATGTAGATGAGAATCTAATGCCATAATGCTAACATTGAGAACCTTCTAGCCCTAAGACTGAATAAAAATATGGAGGGCCAGGGGTTCCCTTTTTATCCCATTGACTGGGTATCCATTTTAGCCCCATGCCTAAAACCCAACATGTAGAGCCTGGGAACATATTTTAGCACCATACCAGAATCCCAACATGGAGGGCTAAGGGACCAATTTAAGTACAATACCCATTCCTCAATACCATTAAGCTCCATGCCCAACTCCCATAATGGAGGACAGGGGTACCTATTTTTAGCTCTAACTCCTGAAATGAAGAACAAGAGACCTTCTTGGCATATTGATAGCGTTGCTATTGTTACTAAAACTCTCAGGACCATGAAATTTCAAGCCCATTTTGTCTGGGACACTCCCAGAAAGCTTCTTGACATGGATGGTCCTACTGATAGCTATGCTGCCACCAGGAATGATCTAGAATAGTTTTCACTCCCCTATGATGAAGCACAAGTGCCTTTAGGGGGCAAAACAAAATAGTAATTTACAACTTTCTCCTTCAGGTCCATCCTCTGCTGACTGACTACACACAGTGGGCGTGTGCAATAGCCAGCCTGCTATTGGAATTTGAAACAGCCAATAGCAGGCTGGCTATTGCTCCCGCCCACTCTCTGTTGTATTTACATTCCCCAGCTAAAGCTATTGAAGTGGAAAGGTGACACCAGGGGTCCAATAGAGCCTAATGTCACCTTAAAGAGAGCCCGTCATCTCCAATGTGCTATCATCACATAGGAGGCTTGTAAGCCACGATAACCCCCCCACATGTGATAGCAATAAAAGATTTTTTAAAAACTAAAGTCCCCCACCCCTGCAAATGCGTGTATACTAAACAGAAACACAAGTCGGGTGCAACTACGTACAAAAACAACTGCACTACAAATGTCAGGTATTGCCACGTGCATCAGAGTGAGAGCAATAATTCTCGGGCCAATATTCATGGCTAATTCTGATGACCGGGCGTTCATATTATTTTATAATTGTATTTTTTGTCCACTTTTGGTGTGTTATTTCAAATAAAAGCTTGGTTATTTTATTATATTGGCTTGGAGTTTTTAATCCAGATTAATTTAAATTCATGAAACAAATTAAAATGTGTAACGCGCCTCCCGCCCGCAGTGCAATGCGCGGTACCGCAATGCCCTGCGTTCCAGGGTGGAGCGATTTCCAAAAATTGTGCAGTTTTATTCTGAAGTAAACCTTAAGTTTGTAACACTCCAGTTGTGTATTTTATTATAAATAATAGATGGTATTAATTTTTTCCAATTAAAAAAAAAAAAAAATCGGACAACTAAATCAATTATAAAAATAATCGTTAATTTTAGCCCTAAAAGACAACTAGATGTACACATTAATCTCCAGGAATCAGCCGCACGGAAACCGACGTAGGTAAAATCCAAGATTTATTGAAGTAAATCCAAAATTCAAAGTGCAATATGTAAACCAAACTATCCAAATAAAGAGGGCATATGGCAAGCTCAGAGGGTCAAAACAGCTCAGAAGACAGTTGTTCATTTAATCAAGGATAATTGGGTGTTGCAATTTAGAGAATAAATGATTGTGGGTGAAATTAATTATGGTTTTTGCAATTATGTGCACCACACTTAACATGAAAATGTTTACTTCTTAATAATAATTTGATTCAGATGAAAAAAGCTTTTTTCCAGAGCAATATGAAGCCATTCTGCAATAACTCTGCAAATGCAATGTGTCTTCACAAGTCTGTATAAAGTTGTAAGGAGAAAAACATTTAATGGGCAAAATGTTAACCAAAAAAAAAATATTTTTAATGGTTGTCACTATAGCCAAAATGAATGAATGAACCACTTAGAAGACCATGGGTCTTGTTTGATCAGAGTTGACACAACAAGTAAGTGTGATGAGTTGAATGTAAAATATTCCTGTGTCAGCACTTACAACTATATATGACGTTGTTCAAGCGATATCTAGCTCTTCTAGTTCAATAAAACAATCATGTCGTGTGCCAAGAAAATGACATAGCCAAAAAATAAACCTGTCGTGAATAGATCATGTGTATACTTAACATGCATTATGGGACTGAGAAAACATGGCCTTAGCTTCTAGTGATGTGCTTTATTTACCTTTCTTATGGAACTGAAGATGTCTCTGAGGATCTTTAATGGTGCACCGTATGAGATGAATACATATAGGGGTGTGGATATTTTTTATAAAACTAATTGTCCAAGAACTAAAAGAGGGGGCCCAATCTACTTGTCCCTCATAATGAGAGAGAGAGAGAGCGAGAGCGAGAGCGAGAGCGAGAGCGAGAGCGAGGGAGAGGGAGAGGGAGAGGGAGACACCTCTTGGCACAGTTAAATATGGTTTTGGTTAAATGTATTACTTCTATCATGACAAGTTTATTTAATAAATGCATATAAAATACTTTTCACTTTTTTTAACTTAACTTTATTACTATCAAACAGGGCCTAACAGCGCTCCTGTCTCACTGATCACACATAGATCGGCGAATTGACGTTTTGTGGGCTGCTCCCCACTCCCAATCCTGAAATCATTGCTGTGGTCCGGGTCCCTCAGAAGAGTGGGGAACCCCAAAAACCAAGGCAGGGTGGGAGGACAAGCAGGCTGCAACAAGTGATCTGGATGGCAGCACAGCTGCCGAGATCACTTGTACAAAACAAGCAATGGCTCCCCTGCTCTACATTTAGCACTGTTTGACTGCAGCAGGGCTAAATGTAGAACAAAAAAACCCCTGCACAGCGCCCGGAAATGTATGTCCCGGGTATTGGGCGATAGGAATCGGGCACCCCTGACTAAGCACCTTTATAGAAAGCATTAAGATAAGAATGTGTATTCTCTTCAGGCAACAATAGATAATTGCTTCAAGCAGACTGCATGCTACACAACCCCACACTGCGGCAGCAATATGTTTCAGCTGTGCCTACCAACACTGCCCCTTGAATCTTTAGACCGACTTTCTTTCCAGTTCCTCAGGGTCCCTGACGCAGATTTACATTACATAAGATCATATCAACACATCTACTTTCAAATGACCACACAATCCTCTAGTTATGGACACTCCGAGCTCCAGCCCACTTTTTATATTCAAAGTGGTGTCTTGTACTATCCATGTACACAAGAGTGGTAAGCCTGTTCCTTAGATTGTGAGGTCTGTGAGTGGCACAGGAAATAGAACACATGGATTTGAATGGTCCTAGGACACAACTGTGGATGTTTATGTGCCTTTCTAGCAACTTTGTTGTTTTTTTCCTCGCATCACACCACATTGCACGGTAATAGGTTACCATGCAATGTGGTGCAATGCAACGCACATGCAATGGGCAGGTGCAATGCGGTGCCACTGCGAAATGGTAACACAGCATCATGCAATGGGGGAATCACATGCAGCATTGCACATGCTCCTGCATTGCAAAGAAGTGAACTGAAGCCAAAAGTAAAACACCCGAGTACCGACTTCCTTTTTGGCTTGGAAACGTGGGATCGTCATCTGAGGACCTTAAAATATAAGCAGAGCTAATGTTCAGGCGCATGGACTAGTTTGTGTCTGCTGATACTGTCACAACTGCATAGAAAAGCAAATAATTCTGTCAGTCCAAACAAGACACAAGTGGGATCTCGGATCACTAGGCCACATTTGTGGGATGGTGACAATTACAAGCGCTGCATTGCTCAGGGGCAGACCATGTTACTGCACTGAATATATTTACAAATACAAATCATACATACCAGAGGAAACCGCCTGCCCTCCCCTATCTGTCAGGTGCCAACTCCAATTAGCAGGGGACATTCAGCAGACTGAAGATCCTCTGGCACCTTGAAAGTCATACTCTCAGACTGTTGTAGGAAAAGGATAAGCACAACATACAGAGACACACAAGAGTAGGAATCTCTTGATTAATGTTTACTTCCAAAGAGCAAATGGCTTCTGTCATTGAGTGTCTGTGAGAGTTCAGCTAGATAAGCTGGACACATTTTGCAGTTGTCAGCAAATAACACACACAAAATATATAGCTAGGCTCTAGGAATGGTGCTATGTATGCAAGAACGGTCAAGTTCACATTGACTTAACACAATATACAAATTCATGTAATACTCAAGAGCAGACGAAAGATCCAAACAACATGGGGCTCGCCCAACGACAACAGAAAAGGCTCAAGAAATGTATCACACAGCTGTCATTTTTTTTAGATGCACTGCCTACCCCAGCCCTGAATGAAGAAGAATGTGTTCATAGAATACAAAATACAGAGACAGCAGAGCTATGGTCTTAGACAATTATTCCAAGAAGCAATGCGTATATTGCAGCATAATGAAAACAAATGGTATAACAATGACCATCTCACAACCGTCAATATCAGCCAAGCAGTCTCTTTAGCAAATAGTTAAGAAATGCAAAGTGATTGGACTTACTCTTTATTGTTAGTAAATAAAGTTAAAGTGTCTCAAGCAAAAAAAGAACACAGAAAACTGCAACTAAATTCAATTTATTGACTGACAGCAAATGTTTTAGGAACTTCAATTCCCCAAAATATATTTACCAGAAGCCACAGGGTCCCCATAATTGCTTGTACCTCCGATGGCTGCAGTCAGTCCTGAAATGGCATGTCAATCGAGCATGCCTATCAGAATTCTGGTTTGATCTCTAAATAGATATGGAATAGAGGGGGGCGCGCGCACACACGTGGTCCTACTCTCTGACACAGAATCCGATATCACAAGCATAGCAGAAGCCTTCTGAGAGTTTGACTGAAAACCCACCTGGGAGTCTGGCAGTGGTACGCAAATTAGAAGACACAGTATACCATGGGAAAAGATTAACTGCTTCCTATAAGAGGGATCCTGCAAGTACCATGCTCATTACTGCAGCACTTCAATAGCACAAGTGTATTATGTGTTCATATCTTTGAGACACTACATCAGCATAAAAAAAATATATATATATTTTTTTTTTTTTATTTATTTTGCTTTTTGCCAAGGTTAATGTTCATAACAATATTACAATAACCTATTACAATATTTTTTAGTGGGGGATATTGGGGGATGTACTGAGCACAGTAAAAAAAAAAAAAAAAAAAACCAATAGGATTAAATGGGACAAGGGTCAAAGTATTTACAAATGTAAATCTTTTATTATTTCTATTATGATTCGAAAGTGCATCCTTTTAATGCACTAAAACTAACCATACAAGCTTCAGTTTTTAATCACTTGTTTACCACATACATGCTAAACAGCATCAAAAGGAGGAAGTTCCCCTGCTGGCTATTGTATTCAGACAGTAGTCAGCAACCGTGGCTGTCTGAATACCTGAACAGTGACTGCGTCTGACTGGATGTAGTCACTGTTCGGACAAAAATGTTCTACCCAACTCCTTTGATTTTTGGTTGCGTAGAAAGAATACCCAAGTTCTATTTTATTGCACTTCTGTCACAATCTACAAAAAATAACCTTTCAGTTCTAAAGTTCTATAAAATGGCATCCTCAATCCTGATTGAACACAGCTTTCATCATCTTCATAAGCACCAAAATTGGACTGCTCTAACTTTTCCCAACAGGTTGATAACTGGTCCACCGCCTCCTATAATCACCGATTGGTAACTGAAGCTGCCAATCAACTTGGGCATTGTATATGGCAACAAGTCAAACCCTGTCTTTCTCAAATTAAATCAAGTTTGGCCTACTAAAGTGCAATGGATATTAAAAGTCCCATAAGGTTGATGAAAGACGCACAAACTAAAGGTTTACTTTAAAAAGAGAACTATGGGGTAAGTGTTTTTCCCCCATAGTTCTCTTAAGGGTCACGGGAGCACATATACTAGTGTCCTCCTGTGACCCAAAGCTCAGTATATCGCGAGCAACAGCTCACGGTATACCGAGACCGCCGCAGCTGGGAAGGATCCCGACAAAATGCTGTCGAGATCTACCCAGCTGCGTGAGTGACAGCTGGCTCTGCTTATCTAGAGGCAGAGCCAGCTGCACCCGCCCCCTCCCCCATCCGTTCCTCCAACTAGTGCTGGAGGATCAGAGCGTGGAGGGGGGGAGGAATCCCTGCTGGGAGAGGTGACTGCAGTCACCATTCTCTGCAGGGAGATGATCGAGAAGTGAGCAAGCGACGGTATGTGTTCGCTCACTTCCAGATCTATTGAGCCGACGTGCGACAGTTTCATTGTCACACGTCGGCTCAAACTATGAGAATTAGTGATTTTCACTCACCTCATAGTTCTCCTTTAAATGTTCTGACCAGGACTAGCAATGAAACAAGCACATGCTCCGACGGTGGTGTAAAAGGTAGTATCCTATAGCTGTCATCAGCACGTCCCTTTTGTCATTTAACAAGGACATGAAACACACAACTGCTGGGAAACTTTATCCCATGTATACCACTGACTTTGTGCCTGAACATTTTCCATCCTCTTACCTCCTGGAAGTTGTGTTGGGTAAATTTGTCTGCAATTCTCAGCAACTCTCTGCAGGAGTGAGTGTCAGCAAAGGCTCGGATACCTAAACAGTTGGAGGGATCAAGCTGGCGTTTCAGGAATTCACAGCAGGCCTCCTGGATTTCTGCAAGTTGAAGAAGGCATGCGGCTGGTAGAAGGGTCTGTACGTTGCCCTCTTCCACTGTGATTTGGGATGTGTATGAAAAGTCGATAAGCAATTCCATGGCTCGCTCATCAATGTCCCGGATTACTACCTCAGTCTGACGACTTTCAGCTAACTCTCCGGTAAACATAGCCCTAAAATAAGGGCTGCAAGCAGAGAGAATGACTCGATGGGCGTAGATCTTCTTGGCACCAACAACAAGTACTACATCGCAGAGTTCTCTGTGCTTTCGTAGAAGGTTGATGACCTCCAGCGTCTGCCGTGGATGCTTATCGGAGACATAAGGCATTCGAGCCGGTTGTGGGACCCCCTCTGGTAGCTTGTTGGGGTCTCCCAGGGTGCAACGGCTCGTCACATCCATTCCAGTCTCACCTGGGCGAGTACTGAGACACCTGAGAGTAAAATAAAGCCAAAAGTCAATGACCATAAACACAAAACAATGTACAAATGCACTTATGTCAGTCATTCACCAACATTACACAGGGTGGAAGCTCTCACAGTAAATGGTACACCATTAAAAACAAACAAGAAATTATAATTGCTCTTTGGAAATGTTTACAAATGCTATCAAAGAAGTGAGGTTCAACAAACAGCAAGTCACAGTAAGATTTGTCCATCATACAGAAAACCAGGATATCAAAATGAAATAAAAGCAGCAGCCTTGGAAAGAATGGGGAACAGATGAGTGAAGCATGGGAAACAGAGGGAAAAGGCAGAAAGGTCACTATTATTATATTATTAACAGGGGACCCTAAAAACCTAAATCTCTAAGTCCCCATTCACACCTGAGCATCTTGTTAATTTGAAACGTGTCAAAAACTTGAAATGCACCCCAAAAGTGGATGGGAAAACACGAGTTTTCCCCCATGTTTGCGTGCATTAAAACACACACACATGTGCATGAGAAAAATGCAGAACGCATGTTGCAGATTTTGCCACATGCACTAATTTCACCGCGTTTGTCATGCATGCAGAAACCCATTGAAATCAATGGTGACATGTGGCAAACATGAGAACAAAACACACAAATGTGATGCACGTTCCTGCAATGCCTACTTGTGAACAGGGACTAAAGTGTGGCAAATACATAAGATGGTGGTCTGACATGCAGGTACAATCTAATGCTAGCCACTAGGGATGCACCGATACCAATAGCAGTATCGGTGCCGATGCTGAGTATTTGGGTGAGTACTAGTATTCACCCAAATGCTCCGATGCCTAATCCGATACTTGAGCTTCCAGTATAAGGAAGCTGGCCAATCAGGAAGCCGGGTGCGGTGTAATGGCGCGGTGCCCGGCTTTATGATTAGCCGGGAAGCCAGCTTTATGCTCCCTCGTCACCTGGTGGCGAGTCTTTACACACCGCACGGCTTCCCGGCTATTTAGGAAGCGAGGTGGTGAGGCATTACACATCGCCTGGCTTCCTTAATTGGATTTCCGATATCGGTTTTCGGTATCGACGAGTACCAGGGAAAAAAAAAAATAGCGGTACTCAATACCGAAAAACCAGTATCGGTGCATCGCTACTAGCCCCACATGGCTTGCATTTTGGCCCATTGCTGCTCAATCGACAGGCTTCGATTACAAAATCAGAGAAGCTGTGGAAAATTGTTGGCCAAACCGTGACTACATCCAATCAGATGCAGTCATTGTTCGAATATTCAGACAATCTTGGGTGCCAGCTGTTTGAGTAGAATAGCAGATAGTGCAGATTCCTCTATTCTTCCCTCTGCGCTGTTTAGTGTAAATGGGAGAATTGAGCAATTTATCTCTTTCAGCCCACGTAGCTGAATAAGAGAGATCTAACCATGTATGGCCAGCTTAACAGCTGAATCATCTTACTTTTTAAACATGATGTGGATAGGTATAATGTGGTCATATAACTAAGAAGATACCCCTATTGTCCGCTTATCTCATCCTTATCTGGGGGAGATATAGAGATTACTTTAAAAGTCCAAACTCAACTATAGCTGAAAATGGCAGCAAACACAGCCGAGGGCTACGGAGTAAAATTAAAAACGTCTCAATTTGTGCTATTTTCACATAGATCCAAAATAATTGAAAATGATGGGAGAAGGTGTGGACTGATCCGCTGAGTGAGGCCAGTGCTGGCACTGTGGAGTGATCTGCCCCACAGACAGAGCGGGGCTGGAGAACAGCAGGCTGTATGGAGAGCAGGGCGGAGCCATGGGACGGGTATGTGGGCCCATGAGCATTGATACTGTACAACGCCACTGTACAACGCCACTGTACAACGCCGCTGGAGATTCCTCCACCCATTCTGTTATTTCTCTCATTCAGCCTTCTAACTGATGAGATAAATTCTATATGTCAATGTTTGGCTTAACTGTTCTTTGTAATAGATGTTCTACCTGTTGGAAAGCATTGTCAAAGTAGTCTAGCAGGTCAATAATTGATCTAATAATATGTTATTGAATAATGATACATATTTTAATGTTAAAATGAACTGTATACCTTTAACAAAGTACCTTATTAGGTTTCCTGAGTCTCAGAGTCTGTTCCTACTAACTTTCTAAATATTAAAGAGGAACTTTACCCATATCTTCAAAATAACAAAAGGCACCTTTAGAAATGACAATCTACAAACTCAAACTTAGATCATTGCAGGCTTTTTATTCTTTGCATACCGTGTTTTGCTTTTCCTCTCACAGCAGCCATTTTTACTAAGGACAAATTAATGCATCTCCCTTTACTTCCTGGAACTCTGGCACATGTGTGTAGGACATGTAACCAAGCACATCATCTCAGGGGAGGAAAATGCCTTTCCCTGAGATCTCATGAGATTTTCCAGCAATGCTCTGCGGATGTAACCTTCCCAGGATGCAATGCTTGTTCACGATTACATCATTTGTTCCCCAGTGGACCAGGAAGTAGAAAAAAAAAAGAAATTGAAAAGTAAACTAAAAATATGTTTGTTTAGCTAATGAATGTAAAATGATTTCATGTCAGCATACAGAGCTGTAGGATGAGGCGATTGTTAGTCAAAGGGGGTACAGGTCTGCCTAGCCGTATCAAACACTGGCAAAAATTTGGACATGCCCAACTGCATTGCTTCCAGCTGGGGCGTTGCACCTAGAGTTATTTTAAAAAAATCTAGAAAACCTTTATGACAGTCTAGGGAACACATGTGATGCATTTCATAAACCCCATGTAAATGCCCAACAAAAGCTCTCTTTTGCATCTTCCATCCCTAAAACATTTGAAAAATGTTCATATACTGGCTGCTGGAGACCGAGCCGCCATCACATATACGTGGCAGCTGAAACTGACATTTGTCTGCTGGTCATTTTTGTCATGGTTCAAAGTTTTGTATTTGAAAATGCAAAAAACAGGAGAGAGATAATAATTACAGTAGAAACAAATAAAAAAAATAATAAAGAGATGTTACAACCACATTACACTTAATTGCAAAGTATAAATGATATATAAATGTAGCAATCTGTTACCAATAAAAACGGATGAGTCATTTGTAAGGCTACAGTATTCTGAAGCATTAACGTACTAAGGAACGGGCAAATAAATACAATAATTTTACTTCTTCAAGAGTATCTGAGACACAACTGGACAACTGCTTGATGTAAAACTTTAAAGTGTCAAAGCAAACAATGATTGCGCATGCAACATAAACCTTCATCCCATAGATTCTGTAGATGCTCAGGCAAGGAAGCCCTTTAACCTGCTCCTGCAACTCTGAAAAAGTGGTATTCAAGTTCCTTCGACATTGACATGCTATTCAAAGCTTTATTCTCTAGTTTATGAAACCCATTACCAGGCTATGAGATCTGGCATCTGTGCGGTTTTCTCCCTCCTTACTCAGAAACTGACACAGCAAGGAGTTGCTCCGGGGATCTGCAAGAGAGTGTGGAAAGTGTCGAGTAAACGACACAAGGGGTGCTTCTTGCTGACTCTCATTTCATTTAGCCAACAGCTGCAGGGTGAAACTGGACCTGAGCAAAGTTGGCAGTGGTCTAAGCATATGAGAAAACATTAAAATGCATTTATATATAGAATAGGCAGGAGAGGGAGGATAGGCGTTTAGGCTACAATCCTGCAACAACTCTACTAGATTAAATAATTATTTGAAAACTGTTTTTATCAACATAGTTACATAGTATTTGAGGTTGAATAAAGACACAGGTGCATCAAGTTCAACCTATTTGCCGGCGTATAAGACGGGTTTTTAGACCCAAAAACATCACCCGAAAATCAGGGGTCGTCCAATACGTTGGGTATACTGTTACAGCTTTGCCTACATACAGCTTCGGCAACTACTGTATGTAGCTTCGGCTACATACAGTATACCGCGCTGAGCCAATCACGGCAAAGCAAACACGGTATATGATTCTGCATGTGTATGCGTGTGTACTAGTCCCTGTGTGATCTTGTTTTTAAGGGTTCCTGTACCCCTGTATGTTGCGGTCTCTGAGAAAGTTGTCCAAATGCTTTTTGAATGATTCAACACTCTCAGCTGATACCACTGCTTGTGGCAGTGAGTTCCAGACCCTAACCGCTCTAACTGAGAAGCCCCTACGCCCCTTGTGGTTAAATCTTTTCTCCACCAGTTTTAGATGGTGGCCTCTAGTCCTTGTTATGGAGTTTACAGTAACATCATAACTAAAAAAAAAATAACCGCCAATCAGCATTCATATTAGAAACATCAAGGGCCCATTTACGTCTGTGCAGTGTGTTACTGCACTTTCAAGGGCATGTATTATTCAAAATTAATGAGTAGTCAGTGCATCCTAATATGCCTAAAATTGTACATGACCCTTTTTTGTAATGCAATGCACTATTGTGCTTTGGGACACACAAAAACACAGATAACAATAACACATGCCACATTACTGCACGTTGCTGTAATGCCATGTTACCGAAAAACTGAAGTGTAAAAATTCTGCCTAAGCAATAAGGGGGGACAAAAAAAAAAAAAAGAAGATATGCCCTTACTGGCTCCCCAAGAAATCCCTAATTAGAACACAAGTATATCACAAAATAAAATTCCTATGCCTGGCTTCCATCTTTGTATATTTCTTATAACACTGCCATGCTAAAATGGAGAAGCCTAAGGGCACTGAACAGGCTCCTGTACTGCAATGAAGGTACAAAGGAGTATCTGCACATAAGCTCTGAATCCTGAGCTGCTGTAACCTTCAAGGTTCAACACATCTTGGCAGTGTTTGACGACCAGCCTAGCTCCCACACTTCCCTACTGGCCAGGAACTCCTCCCTTCATGCGATGGGCAAATATGAACATGCAAGTGGAGACGGGGTTAGAGTACAGCACTTTCAGAAAGAGTCAAAAGTAGAGCTGCAGCTAACGATTATTTTCAAAATCGATTAGTTAGCCGATTATTAAGTTCGGTTAATCGGA